AAGCTTCTGGAACAGTTATGAGGGGTGATCTAGAGTTGTTTAACATCTGGCATGTCTCTGAGGATGACTTAGGTTGAGGCAGCTGACTTACCTTGAATGTGAATGTTACTATTCCATGGGCCGAAGTTCCAGACTGCATAGAAAGGAGAAAGGTCGCTGAGTGCCAGCATCCACTTCTCGATGCTTCCTGACTGTGGGTGCAGTGTGAGCAGTTGCATCAGGCTTGCACTGATGTCACTTCCCCACTACGATGGATTGGACCCTGGAACTGTGCCAAAGGAAACCTTTCCTCCCTTAGGTTGTTTTTTTTTTTTTTTTTTTTTTTTTTTTTGAGACAGGGTTTCTCTATATTGTTTTGGAGGCTGTCGGTCCAGCCTGGCCTCGAACTCACAGAGATCCGCCTGCCTCTGCCTCCCGAGTGCTGGGATTAAAGGCATGCGCCACCACCGCCTGGCTTTTTATCTATCATAGCAATAGTAAAAGAACTAACAGTGGCCAGTGAGCCTTCTGTATTTAATATTTTTATCATTATTAAAATATTTTTGTGTCTGGGTGTTTTGCCTGGATGTATGTCTGTGTACCATGTGCATACCTTGTATTCATGGAAGACAGAAGAAAGCAAAAGATGCCCTGGAACTGACGATACAGACAAAGCTGCCATGTGAGTGCTGGGTGCTGGGAATTGAACCCTGATCTTCTGGAAGAGCAGCTAGTGCCTTTGATTGACTGAGCCATTTCTCCACCCCCCCCCACTGAATATTTTAAATGTCTGTCTAGTGTTTGCACTGTGGAATAGTAACAGTTTTCACTTAAATATTTCATTGTGCAAGCAAAACTTTGACATACAAAGAAACAAAACATCTCTTAGCAAGAATGTCCCAGGCTTTCCAAATGTGGCTTCATTTTCACTCTGAAGTGACACTGCTTCTAACTGAGAACATTCCCAGGCTGGTATGTGTTTCTTTCAAAATCTGGCATCCCCTGTAGAAGCTTATATGGACGCATACTTCTTTCTGGTTAGAAGGTAATTTATTTGGCTGGTTGATTATATTAAAAAGAAAAAAAGCCTGCTATGCCACACGAGAACAAACATCTTGAATGAAGTTTGAGACACTAGGGCATATTTGAGACAGAATGCCAACTCCAAGGTTTATTAAGACATTAAAAAGTCATTTTGATAATGGGATATTTGCCTCTAAATATAAAAACGTCTTTTAACAGATCCTTAAGGTTCACTCTGGTACAGTACAATAAGAGGCATCTCCATTCCCGAAACCGTGCCGTTTCGGGTTTCTTGTGCATTATATGATCAGTAATACATGGAGTTCAAAACAGTGACAAGTGCGGTCGATGCTCCATCATTTTGGAATTTCAGACTCAGACAAAACAGGAGTTCCCACCAGGAAGAGTCTAAGTCAATGATGGACATGCTTGCTACTCCTCCATTCACTATGGAGTCACTCCTGATTTGGAAGTAGATTGCTTCCTCTGTATGGGGGCAACTCTCATTCTTTGAGAGGGAGAAATAGAAAAGGGGGTTTAGTGCTGCGCTGCTGTGTGCAGCTATGAGCAAATGAAGACCTTAGGTCCCAGGTATGCGGGCATCTTTGAAGCAGCCTGGGAAACGAGACCCCTTACGGGCTTTCATTGTTTATTTGGGATCCACTGCCATGTCCTTGGGGAAAAAAGTCATAGATTTGGAGCAGTCAGTGATCCTTATTAAAGCCACTAGTCTTTCATTAATTTCTTGGGTTAAGATTCTTGTCACACACTCAGACACAGGAAACCACACACAACTTCCTCAGTAGTGGCTGAGGTTGATGCTTATTAGACCCACTCCTTGGATAAAACAGCAGCTGTCAACAAAGATGCTGGCCTCTGTAACAACCTCCAAACACAAGAACAAGAAGCCCAGATGAACACCACGGAGCACAGATGGATTTGAGCTGTTTTAACTTAGAGCAACTGGACAGAATACAGAGATATTGGGCTGTATGAACATAGCATTTCCATCGCTGCTCTGTATACATTTTCACAAGTCTCATTGCCATGCAGAATTGACCTGTTTAAAATTCTCTTCAGTCTCTTAAACCATCTTCAGGCTGGTCCCCGTGGGAGGCACAGATGAGAGTCCTGTAACTAACTTGCTTTTGTGATTGTTAAAGCTGGATCACTGGCCAAGTCTGGTGGGATGTAAGCACTGTGAACTGCCAACAGCATCCCCAGGACTGAGATGCAGAATTGGAGATGTTTTTTGGCCTGATGGTGTAGTCCTTTGACTTTGGAATACTGAATCTGAATTGTCAGTTCCAGGAACAGCATGAATAAATGTTTTTCCAGGATAAGCAGGCAACTCCATAATAAGGGAAACAGCTGAGTTTTAAATTCCTTTACCGATTAAGGCCAACTTTGAGGGTACAACTTTTACAGAACCGTGAAAACAAATTCCTCCCCTCACAGAAATACTCATTTCCTGCCGCAGAAAAGGTGACAGTCACCTGAGTGTCCAGCTGGTACAGGTCCTCCTAACAAGAATGTGCTGATACCTAGGATGCCCCCTGCCCTAGCCAACGTCTGAGATTCACATAGGATGTTATCTTGGGTCTTGTGGAATGAATGTAGTTTATTTGAACTTAAACCAGGCTAAGTTCTCCCAGAAGCTCTGGTCATTGTTCACATTGGGGAGAGGGAGGGGATTTCTAGAGAGTATGAGAAGGGGGCTTTTTTTCCATTTCATGCTTATTTTGGTTAAGCTCAAAGCACTGGTTTAGAGATTCATGGAAGACACATTGGCCATGGATCTAATTAGTATTAGACAAGAAGTAAAAATCCGTATATGTGGGGCTTTGATGCTAGTGGTGTGAAGTATCAGTTGGATCTGTACTGGTTGTCCAGATGCTGGGGTCAGAATGTTTGGGGTCTAGTTGGGTGCCACAAAAAGCAGTGAGTTCTTGTGTATGTTGACATTCCTCTTTCCCGTCCCTAATTCAGGTTTCACCCGTGATTAAGTGATTATGCTGAGCTGCCACTTAGCCCACTAGAGAAAACCATTCCCTTTCCCCTGAGAGGTTTCCTCTTTCCAAGTCTCTTAGGATGGATCTTCTTTCTTGGGGACAGGCCTCCCAGAACAGCTGTCCACCCCCGAGCCCCCACAAAGAGAACTCAATCTCCCCATGGGGGGGGGAGCCCGAGGGTGTGGGGAATGAGATGGGGCTGTGCATCTCCAGATCCATCACAGTTCTTGGATGGCTACGGTGGTTTTTCATGGGAGATGCCAGTTCCTGAACCCAAAGTTGTTTCTTTCCCTTTCTATCTGAATACTACTGACTTCTAGGGCCATAGCTGGGTGTTGAAGAGGGTGAGAATTCGGTTGTGACATCTCTTAATGTTCGATGGAGCACTGCCTGCCACCAGGAAGGATCCCAATCCTAACAACACACAGGAGTTCCATAGCAATCTTCCCTGGGTGTCCTTACTATTCTATTATGGGACTGAAGGTGGGGTTGTGGCTACCGCACTGTCAACTCTAGATCCCACAAGAAAGTTCTATCTTCTACATCACATACTGGATGCCCACAGTGTACTTCCCTTGTCTCTTCTACAATGATGCCTTTGCTATGTACCTGAGGTGACACTGAATTCACTATGTAGCTCAAGATGACCTTGCATTCACAATTCTCTTGCTTTAGCTTTTCAAGTGCTGGGATTACTGGGATATGTCACCATTTCTGGTATACGGTAATGCTTGAACCCAGCTGAGTGACAAGAGAGAACCTGAATATGTGTGCCCCAACCTATTGATCCTCATGCTAAGTGGGACAGTTGATGTGTCGAGTCACACTTAACCAAGGCCAGCAAAACAAGAAGGGTCACTTTCTTCAAGGGCTAGGTGTTCCTGCATACAGGAGAGTGCTCAGGCAGCCAGGTACCGCTCTTCACCGGTGACTTCCTGCTTCACATTTTTTAAAAATTGTATTGAGCTATACATATTTTCCCCACTCTCCTTTTCTCCTCCCCTCTCCCATTCAGCTTTGTGTCTTTAAACCTCAGTCTCTTGGAATGGTTCTACTGAAGGGACAAGGTACCAAATCTTGGCTTACAGAATTTGTGTTCCAAGAGTAACAACAAAATCAATCCAGTTCTCAAGTGTGTGTGTAGGGGGGATGGGGAAGGGCAGTTTGGAATTGATTTGGAAACCCTGGCACTCCAGGGAATCAGCTTGAAATCACTCCAAGTGTCAATATCCCAATTACTACTAGGAAGGGAATCACTAATGACCAGAAAGGGGCACATGTGCTGAAACAGCATCAAGGTCTATGTTTAGAGTCACCCACCAACCTCTCAACTACACAGCCTCACTTGTGGTACTCAGGTTCTCAGGTAAAGGTGACCGAGGAGGCTCAAAGACCATTACATTACATCATACCTTGAGTACCTTTTGTTACTGTGGATGGGATGCCATTCCACAGATATCTCTGTGTTGAGGGGTTTTTCTGCACCCATCTTGAAATAAAGAGTTCATAAATGCTGGTGAAAAACTGAAAAGCACTGAGGTATGACCGGGAAGTAGACTGTCACAGTGATTTTTATCAACTTCAGCACTGTTTTAAAGTCCAAAGCTGGATGATACTTCCCATCTTGTCTGGGTACCAACCATTTCTCCACGAGTTTTCCTATTTTGAAAGCAAGTAGGAAACAAGAGCTTGATTCAGCTTTCCAGGCCTCATCAATACTTCAGAAGCTCCGTGGAACCCATCCATATCTTGGATGCTTAATTCTCTGTTTTTATTTGGGATTAACGCCTCATCCTTCAGATCACTGTCTTTCAAATTGGCTCTAAGAGATGAATCTTCCAAATAACACACAGAGGTTTAATCCCTCGATTCCCATTACTGCCAAGAGCTGTAACTGCAAATCCCTCTGCAGCTGACCCCAAATTTACCCCTTGGTGTTCAAAGTGCCAATTAAATAATAAAAACTGAAACCGTGGTCAGATGTAATTAGTTTGAGAATAGAGTTTTATAATGTGCCTCATGCCGAGCAAACAAGTTAACCATTCCGATGACAGACACACACGATTTGGGCAAAGAGAACAGAGCTCTCAGACTGGAACTCTGTGTTGTTGGTCAGGATGTCTCCTTCTGGGAATGGGAAACTGAGGATGCAAACGCTGGCTCCAAATGGTTGAAAGTGCAGTTTATGGGGTAGCTTCCCCTCCCCACTCTTGCATTAAACATGTCTTTCAAGATTCCAGCTGGTCTAGGCTTGACTGAAAATGAGGCATATTTTAAAACAGGACCCTGATAGGAACAGACTCCGACAGTGTTACTGTTAAGTTATCTGACTGAAAAGCAGTTCTTGTTTGGAAGGTTGCTGGGTATTTCTTAGCCCACTTCTGAAACAGTATTACTCTCAGTGGTCCCTAGTAAAAACAAGTCCCTGGTCCTAGCCACTTTTGGGGACCAGGTGTGCTCCTTGGTTGTACATCTCCGCTTGGCTGATGGGGGCTGGCCTGAGCTGCCCAACCTTTTCTGTGTTTCTCTTTAGACTGTGTGGGGTTATGTCAGATGGCACAGTAGGGAAGGCATCTGAACCTGAGGCTATGGACTGCATCAGGTCATGAAGTCATTCTGTTTCTGTTATTTCTGCTTCTTCAGCGTGGGGAGGAGGAGAAGGAAGAGGGAGGGAGAGACGTGTGGAAACAAGGTTGACAAATTCTCAACTACACAGGTGCTAGGTCATGTCCTGCTCTAATATTTCAGCTCTTTGATTCAGAATTCTCTAATTTTCTCAAGCAAGCATTGCAAAGCCTGGCACAGTCAGAGAGTTGACTTGTGCCATTAAAGAGTTGTGCCATTGAAGTCTTGGGGATGCTACTTGAGTGGGCATCCATCCATGCAGTCACTGCATCAGCGGTCTTTGACATACAAAAATGTGGGGGAGGAAGGGAGAGAGGGAGGGAGGAGGGAAATACTTGGGTATGGAAAACAGAAGTAGGAAACTACAGTTCTATTGAAAAACTATCGGACTTAGCAACGACAACCCACGGGAGCTACACGGAAAGCGTCGGTGAGGGCCGGGGATGCAGCTCAGGGGTAGAGAGCTTGTACTGCATGTGCAAGACCCTGAGTTGAATGCCTACAATAGAAGAAGGTAAAGCAAGGAGCAAATAAAGAAACAAAAGAAAGGAAGGACCAAAGAAAAAAGCAAGGAAGAGAAAGAAAGGGAAAGATTCACAAAAAAGACAGCTTCTAAATCACTTCCAACCTGGGAGTCAGGATATTGCTTTGAAAATATTTCAATGCTAAAGTTTCCTTGTAAAATATTAAGAGAAACTGGTGAACTTGTTTTTTCTTAACGTACAACTCGATTTCTCTCACGTACAACATAAATCATTTAATGTATCGCTTGCAACCTTAGAAAGGCAGACATATTCCATCCAAGTCTGTTTATAAATTCCAATCTTGTAATGGATTAAAAACTGCAGATAAATTAAGTCACAATAGTATCCTGTACATGCATTAAGGCTGGTGACTGCTAAGGTCTCTTGAGTATCTACAAATAGGAAATCACACGCAGATCACTGTGTCTGGAGTGTCTACAACATTAAAAAAAACTTGCATTCTCTCTTTTTTTTGGCGATACAGATTTCAACAGTAACTTTGGAAAACTGTGAAAAATGTTATTTAAAAATATATATGTATATGCTACTGCACAGTTTCAAAGATGTGTTTCATAAATAATGTTGCTGCATTGATTAAATTTATAACAATGACTGCACTTCCAAGGTGATGTGAACACGCAGTGACTTATACTCAATATTAGGCACTATTAATATGTCAGGCGTACTACAGTCTTATGTTAGCTGTACTGTACATGTATATTTTCAAATGTATGCATTTATACAAACTGTCTACTTTGTATGGGTGTCAGAGATGTACGTAACTGCTACATAGCACACACACCATTGTTGTACATACGGGACATGTTTTAGTGCAGGAAGTCTCATTGCATTGCATTCCATGTGTTCAATGTAGCACACAGTTTGTCAACTGTTTAGCGTACATTTCCAGTACATTCCTCTTTAGAGAGTGGGTCCAAGTTTCCATTTGCAATTTGGATGTTTCCAGAAGTGTCTGTTCTAAGCAAACCTCTCTCTCGCACATCTGCAGAGGATATTCATCTGTGCAGAGTCCTAGCTAATGCAGAAGTTTGTTCAGGAATACTTTTAGGCTCCTCCCTTTCAAAGTCAATTCTACCACTGTGACAAAGGGTGGCATCTGCTCAGGTCACAGGAGGTAAGACCAGTTGGACTTTGGTGGAATGTTTGAGGAAAGAGTATGTCTTCAAATAGAAACAAGCAGTAATAAACTTTATATTGATATGTAAAAACTTCTGGAAGGATACAGATCACCGGACTGTGGTCATCTCATGGCAAGTGAGGCAACCACAGACTTACATCATCTACACTTCAGCATTATTTGAATTCCCATAATCAACATGTAAGACTTTTATAGCCATAAAACATAAGAAAGATGCTTCAGTTTGCAACCCAGCTTAAGAAAAGCAATGTGTTATGGAGGACTTTCATGGCATCAAGTGGGAGATGGTTTCTTATCAGAATTATCAACCTTGAGTCCCATCAAGCAGAAGAGAGTTTTTTCCTAAAATTGCCTACATTGGGCCTGACACATGCTCCATGGACGAGGCAAGACAAAGACAGGACCTGGACGCTCTGACTATGTCCCCAGGAGACCAGTTTCCACAAGTTTTGTTAGGAAACAGGTCCCAGTGTGTTCATCAAACCTATGCTAGTGCAACTAGTCAGAGGCCACCTTGGTAATTTGATGTGGCTTTTCCAGGGATGTGGATTTCGTGGGTGCCACAACTAAGCCTACAACTTTAAAGAAAGTTGGGACTGGAAAAGCTCCCCAAAGTCACAGAGAGGCCCTGAGGGTATTCCTCTATGTGGGAGTTTGAACTTTTCACCAGAATTCACCGAGAGCAACTAGAACAAAGTCTCACTCCTGTACAAAAGGTGATTCAAAATTTCTTATATTCAGATTTGAGACATAGGGTAGGATCACAAACCTGCCAACAGTTAGTGAAAGGGATGTGAGGAGCACGCTGGATAGATAAATATAAACGTGGGAATGGAGGTGGAGCGTTCTCATCTCAAGACTCTGAAACCTAAACTGCTCCAAAATCTAAACCTTCTTGAGCAGTGACATGATGTTAGTGGAAAATTCCATACCTGACCTCATGGGATGGCTTACAATCAACATTGCAGACATTACCCTCATGTATACAAAGTATATATGAAATGTAAATGAATTTCATGTTTAGATTTGAGTCCTCTTCCCCAAGATACCTAATTATGTATTCACAAATATTCCAACATCTTAAAAAAACATTTCTGGTCCAAAACATCTGAAGTCAATGTACTGCTAAAAATTTCAAGTGTTTGAGGGTCAAGGCCAAATGCAAATCCCACAGAGTTCAGTTTGGTACAGATCACCAAACCATGGTCAGCTGAATCTGCACTAGGATCCGGGGAATGAGAGCAGTCTTATTTGTCACCTCCTGAGAAGGCTAACAAAATGGTAATGTGAACATAACCAAGCTCACAGGGACACATACTGTATGGCCCTGCCACCTTCAACAATGGACTGCAAGTAACTTAAGGACATTATTTTGTCTTTAAAGTGTGGCAAGATGCACCTTGTTTGCAGGACTTGTTACCAATATTTCAGATCCACATATATTTAACAAGAAGACTAAGTCTAGGGTATGACAAAACATGAGAAAACAAACTTCAGACATAAACTGTAAACAAGATGGTGAAAAACTAAAACATAAACTTAAAAAAACAAAACAAAACAAAACAAAAACCCAAAAATAACCCAGAAAAGAACCATGGTCAAGACATAAACATATTAGATGCTCAAGATATATGTAAGACACTGATCGTTGCTACTCCAAATATAGAGTTGTAATCATCAAAGGGATAGCTTTCCTTGCACTGTGAACAGTTTAACAAAAGCTTGAAAAATATCCCCCAAATCGAAATGCACTCCAGGCAAGTAGCCACACACCGTGTGCAAAGACCATCACAGCGGCAAACCGCTCCTAGTCTTGTAAGCAGTGGCCAGGTCTAGGGATGGTGTGTTCCAGACAACGTCTTCATTTGGCCAAGGGAAGTTGCAAGAAAGCTATTGCAGAAAGACTTGGAATGTGCAGGCTGACAACAGCCAGGTGGCTCCAGGGCCAGAGTCACAGTGCAGCAGGAAGAGGAAATGTGTGTGCCTGGAGGGCTTACTGCCACAGGGGCGAGCTTCATCCTGAACCAAAATGGTCACTCTTGCTTTTACGGTTGTTGAGCTTTCACCGAATCCTGGGGCTGTGTTTTTTTTTTTTTTTTGTACTATGTGGGGACTGGGCAAGGGAAGTTTGTGGGACTCCACTGGCTTATAATGTATTCTGTTCGGTGGATAATGAGGGCTGGGGGAAGGTAGGAGAGGAAGGGCAAGGCATTTGGTAACATGCAATCTAGTGAACTTCTGGCACAAAAATAACTGACTTGTTTCCATTATTCAATTACTCATTAATATACAACAACCAAAAGTAATTGGGGACTTGTATATAATACTGAAAGTAATCAATAATATAAGAGCTAGGTTCAACGCATTCGGCAGTTATGCTTTTGTGTGCTGGATCATGTCAAGTTCAGCAGCACACGAGATTTTGGTGGAACTTTCTAAGAAGGCAATGGCTTAGCACTGGGGGTGGGATGTGTCTGTGGGAGTGGGAGCACATGTGTGCTGCGTGGATTTCCTCCACTGAGGAACCTCTAATCACTTGTCTAGCTTGGGATTCTAGGAACCAGACAGAGAACATGTGTTTTGAAGAGCTGTTGATCTTAACACACACACACACACACACACACACACACACACACACACACACACACACACACTCACTCACATTCAGAAGGCTTCATACGATCCCACACCTAAACACACACACCCCAGAAAAAGATCACTGTTGGAGTCTGAGGAAATGTTCACCGCAGTTTGGGAAAAGCTGTGGGCTAGGAATATCAGCAGCAGCACAGTGTCCAGAAACATTGAGCCACTGAGGAGAGGAAAATGCAGTCTGGCTCAAGGGCATGGTCCCTAGGACAGGTGTGCGCTGCTCCGAAGCCAGTGCAGGCCTTGCTGGGAGTACTGGACCAGGTGTTCCATGCTGCTGTGCAAGGTGACAGGTCCCATGAGCAAATCCAGGTCATTGAAGAACTCTAGGAGACAGAGAGACATGCGAGGGAGGAAGTCAGGGTCTGGGTGACTTCAGAAAGAATCCACTCATGGTTTTAACCACTCTCCACTGTTTATGTGGCTTGGCATTCCCTGGAACAAAATAAAACCCTATATCCAAACAAATGTTTGTTATTTTGCCACATTTCTGTATCCAAATAGCAAAGAGTCTATGTTCCAGCCGCTTTGTCCTGGTAGGAAAACACTTTTCACCTGATGTCAGTGTGACTCAGCTGTCCGTTATTCCACTGTCACCTTCCTGGGCTGAGACCCTGAAGAGGGTCCAATGAGTGGTGCTCTACGACAGTGGGTAAGTCAGAGGTCAGGACCAAGCAGTCACCTCTGCTGAAGTTACGTTCTAGCTTGGGATACTCTCTGTGTGTGCTGTCTCCTTTATTTTGTACCTAGGTACTTCCTGGGAAAGGTGGTGGGTGGGTGGAGGGAGGACAAGCCAGATGAATCATGTGTGTGGTGGACAGAGACAAATCCTTATGGCTGCTCTGCTGTCACAGGTGAGTCACTGAATAAAGTCCAAGAATATGAGAGAGAGAGAGAGAGAGAGAGAGAGAGAGAGAGTGTGTGTGTGTGTGTGTGTGTCCGTGTGTCCCTAAGAAAGGAAGGGGGTTCAGGGAAGACTGAACACTGGAGGTGGCTGGGAGAAGGAATCCAGGCATAGGACAGAGGAAGAACAGGCTATGGTAGGTGGACAGAACCGAATTTGTACCCTATACGTGTCATTGAGACCTCTGAAGGAGGTACCTAGCAGGTGGTGGGCAGTGCCATCTGCAGCCTGGCTCGCTCACGGTCTCTCGGGCTGGGCAGGACTATCTCCATACATTTGCCTGCTTTGCTTAGCCACTTAACTGTCTTTTTCAAAACCCTCGCCCATACAAGTTCCTCTGGCGAACTTCTCCTGGTGGCCTGAAGCCTCCTGTCATGCCCACTGGGCTTTCAAGCTGTACCACCTTGGAACTCATATCAGCCATTCCCTGTACTCAGGGCTCATCTGTGCCACCCGTCCCTCATCCCTCTGTGGACCCTCCGCTCTTGTCCTTGTGAGTTTGTGCTATCATCCGGTTATAACCATACTCCTGTCAGAAGATGACCTTGATCGGCATTCTTACCTGTTGCTGTGGGGAGAGGAATGAATCGTTCAGTTTTTCGTATATCAAGATACAATGGCTCATGCCTGTGATTTCAGCACTTCAAAGACTGAGGCAAGAGGATCATCATGAGTTTGTGGCCAACCTGGGCTACCTGGTGAGTTTGAAGCCAGCTTTGGCTACCTAGTGAGGTCCAGGCTACACGAGGCTATAGAGTGAGACTCTGTCTCAAAAACCAAACCAAACCAAAATAAAACAACAAAAAAGAATCTTTATTCACCAACACCCCTAATTTAGCTTCTATAACTCTATCTTAAGTATGTAGTAAAATCCAGGTAGTGGTGGTGCATGCCTTTAATCCCAACACCTGGGAGCCAGAAGCCAACCTGGTTTACAAAGTGAGTTCCAGACAGCTGAGGCTGTTACACAGAGAAATCCTGTCTTGAAAAACCACACACACGCACGCACGCACGCACGCACACACTCACTCAGAAAACAATGATTTACTGAAACATTATTTGTCACAGGTAGAAAAAGAACTAGAAGTAACTTAAATGTCTGACAACAGGGGATGGATTGAGAAATCAGGCTACTTCATGATTCTATAAGCACAGTATCAAAATAATGTCATATATAATTGTGACTGGCCACCTAAAAACCTTTTCCTCTATATTTTCCCATGTTTCATAAATTTAACCATGGAAAGCACCCATTACTACATTAAAGTTTTATTAGTGTGTGTGTGTGTGTGTGAGAGAGAGAGAGAGACAGAGAGACAGACAGAGAGAGACAGAGAGGGATGGAGGGAGGAAGAGAAAGAGAGAGGAGAGAGACAGAGTGTGAGAGAAAGGGAGGAGGTGGTTATGCATGCTGTGGAGCTCAGAGGATAACTTTGGAGAGCTGGTTTTCTCCTTCGACTGTGGGCTCCAGGGACTGAATTCAGGCTGTCAAGCTTGTATCCACTGAGCCATCCCACTGGCCCCTATCATTTCTTCTATCAGCAAAACAAGTATTATTTTAAAAGTAGTAATTCACTACTACATGTAAGATAATCTCTTCTGTACAAAGAGATTGTTGTAAGCAAATAACACTTTTTTTTTTTTAAGATAAGGTCTTAGTTACGTAGCCCAGGCTATCTTGGAACTCCCTTTGTAGCTCAAGCTGGACTTGGATTTGGAAATCTTGCCTCAATTTCTGGAGTACCACCAAGCCTGGCTAGCAGCTTGAGCAGGAAAAAAAGCTGGTAATATTCATATTCATTCATTTCACATATTTGTTATTTTTGGAACCCCAACTGTGTTCTAGGAGCTAGGCTAGGCCTTGGGGGGCACAAATTACAAGGAAATAAGTCTATGTGCAAGAAGCCCACTGTCTAAACTGGAAAACGCCACGAGTGCACATCGACACCCGTTTGCATCTGAATTCGCACCTACAGCTGTGTGTATCTGTCATCTAATTGGCTCCACATGCTCTTCCACAGTAAGGACAAAAGCAGGTTCAGGCAGCAGGTGCTAGTTTTTTTGTTTTTTGTTTTTCTGTCTTCCATAAACCACGAAATTTGATCAGGGCAGATTTCCCCATACCTAGGTAGGTCCCCATTCCCCACGGGCTGTACACACACCTCTGTTTTCCTTGGCCAGGTTGTCAGCCATCTCCCAGTAGTCGTAGCTGTGGAGGATGCTGTTGGTGATGCTGACGTGATTGGCTGCCATCTGGTGAATACGCTGGGGGATGCTGACGATGGTTGATGGGGACAGGGCGTTGGAGCTGGAGAGGCTGCCCTGGGACCCCACGGAGCTGGTGGGAGAAGGGTTGGGAGACATGGGGGATGGGCTTCCAGTGCTCCTGGAAGAAGAGAGGTAGAAAAGCCAGAGTGGAGAGGTTGGGAGCAGGCGAGGCGGGCAGCCCCCTCGGGGCAGTGCGTCATGCAAGGCATGGCTTATTGCGTTTGGGAAAAGCGAACTTACTTGCCACTGGACCCCCATGGGGATGGGGCTTGGGCAGCTTTCGATGAATTCTGCAAGGAAAAAAAATATGGACAGTGAGTGCCATTGGCTACGTCTAACCAGTGGACAGCAGCATATTTTAATGTGACTGTTGGAAGGAAATAATAAGTAAAGGTGCGATTGAAAGGACTCAGGCATTATGCTGGCCTGCCCCTGCTACCTGGCAGAATGCACTCAGGCAGTGCTCTGGTCAGCCCAGGGTTCCATGAGTACAGTCTGCATGTAAAAGGACCCCTTTAAAAGACAGACCCCTGCCCACTTACACTCTCTTACTCTTTGCTCTCTCCTCTCTCGCGCTCTTACCCTCTTCCTCTCTCTCTCTCTCTCTCTCTCTCTCTCTCTCTCTCTCTCTCTCTCTCTCTCTCTCTCTCTCTCTCCTTCCTTCCTTCCTCCCTCCCCCCTCTCTCCTCCCCCTCTTTAATAAACTCCTTGGTTAATGTATCTCTTGGTTAGTGTTCCATCTGGCGCCTTTCTAACTTAAGCGAAAGAACAACCGTGACAATCTTCACTACCATACTGTAGGTCAATGCGGACTCCCAGAAATCAGATCTGGGAGCTATACTCACAAGGCTATTCTTCCCTCCATGGAAGCCAGTGTGTATGAATGAGTGTGCATACGTGTGTGAGTGTGCGAGCACACATGTACACAAGTGCCTTACCTAGCGGAGGTTTTTACAAGCAAATTTTAGGCACCAAACTATCCATAACGGCAAAGGTCGGTTGAAAGCTGAACCAGTCTAGAGTTTTCATTGGAGATTAGTCTAAATCTTCTGAAAAGAGTGGGAACTCTTCCCCATACCATGATGAGAATGCCTTATATCTAAATTTAGGGATTATTTACAGACACTTTCGAGGGAAGTTTGCGATCAAACCCTATTGTTTCAAATTATGAAGTTTAAAACTCTTCCTCTTAATGCTGGGTATGGCAACACACACCTTTAATCCCTGAACTTGGAAGGCAGGCAGATCTCTCAGTTTGAGGCTAGCCTGGGTCTACAGACCAAGTTCTAGGACAGCCAGGCCTACACAGAGAGACCCTATCTCAAATAACAACAACAACAACAACAGATTATTCCTCTGACAGGAATAAGAGAATATTCTTAAAGTGATAGTTTCAGATATATTTCTTAACAGGAAGTTTAAAAATTCTGATACTTATTGATATCTTATTACTAGCATAAATACGAACACAATTAATAGTACTGAGAGCTTTCATTGTGACATGCAATTTCTACTTATTTGTCTTTTTGGTAGTACTGGTACTGAACCCAAGTGTTACAGGGAGGCACTCTACCATTCAGCTCCACCACTACCGCTTGGCATACTTAGGAAGCCAGATTTAGGTTATTATATTCCATGTGCTAGGCATTTGCATCAGGCATTTACATGTTTTTCTGATTGGGGGTGTGGCTCAGCCACACAGAACTTGACAGGTATAGGAGATCCTGGGTTTAATCCCAGGCACCACAAACAAAACAAAACAAAACAAAACCAGAAACAAAGTAGCAATAAATACGTGAATAAAAACAAAATACAATTTTTGATATTTTGCATGTGTATGTATGCCTGAATGTATGTGTATGTATGCATGTGAACATACCATGTTATATGGAAGTCAGAGACAACTTGTGGGAGTCTGTTTATCTCCTAAATGTGGGTCCTGGGGACAGAACTTAAATCATCAGCCGGGCTTGATGCTGAGTGCCTTTATTCACCGAGGCGGCACACTAGCCCAGCAAAAAACGTTTAGAAAGGCCTCTCTTAAGCAAGGGATGTCACCAAGTGCAGTCAGGTTTCCTGTCTGAGAGCCCAGGCTCCTGCTGTCTGCATGGCTATCAGGGGGAGTGACAGTCTCTATGAGGCTTGCGCCATTTCCCCCTCCCGCCCTCAGCCGTTCCTAAGACAACGAGCTTCTGGCAGAAGGAGCTTCCAGAAGTGGCTGGCCGTTTATTTTCAGTGCAGGAGCCGCCAAGGTGGCAAGATCTGGTCTTTCGGGCTCTCAGCAAGCATAGACATGAGAAGGAATCAGAAACCACCACTTTCACCTGTCTCACGGAGAGAGCTGGAGCAAGAGTGCCGTGCTAGGGGATCCCCTCTCCTTTCCTGCCAGAATGGTCCTGACACACCTAGGTGATGAGAGACTCCTTCCTTAAGTTCCTTCAACTCAACATTCTGGACAGAACACAATGTCAGAGAGGGAGAGAGGTCTGGGAGTTGCAGGAATAGTTTACGAAAGGATTTTGAATGGGATGGGAGTCTTTTGATTCTTCCTCTAACTGTAGCATCAGGACCAAAACACACTGTAGGAACAACGTTGTCTTCCCAGAGACATCTATGTACTGCTAAGGCGTAGTGCCCACAGCCAAATTATCGTCACAACCCAAAGGCTTCAGGCCCCAAACTGTATTTAAAAGGTCCTTGAAGTCTTGTATAAAGGGCACCTACTAGGTACAAGCTTCAATATGAAGGACACGTTTTGGAGATCCACCGAAGGATGTGGCCAGAACTTCAAGAAGGGAGATCTGAGATGCTCCCGTCACAAAGATGGTAAGAGCAGGGTGATGAATGTGTTCACTAGCTGGCAGCATCTAACAGGCCCACAGTGTACAATATTACCAAAGCATCATATTGTACACTATTAATATAACCTGCCACCTAAAATATACTTCAAAACATAGAATTGATGGAATGGAAAGCCAATAACTTCTAGAAGGGACTATGATTTCCTGTTCTGTTCTCTTACCCATTTTGTTCATATTTTTGGACTGGATACAAACATTAAAAACTATTTTCAACCCCTTAACAGTTTGTCAGAACTCCCTGGGATCACAAAATTCAGTGTACTTCTTTATCAAGCATTTTTGTTTTTACTGTGCTGTAATAATTCACCTCGTAGACTCTGAGTCCCTGAAAATCACCATCCCTCATGTGTATGTGTGTCTGAGACAGGACTCGCTAAATACATATGTGGCTGGCTTGGGACTTGCCATGTAGATCAAGTGGCCTGGAACTTGCAGTGATCCTCCTGCTTCTGCCTCCTAAGTGCTGGGATCTCCTGTCTCCAGGGATCAGGGGGGCTCGGCAGCAGCCATTCAGTATGCATAAGCAGAAAGCTGGTCATGTACTAGACAAAGCCCAGGAAATCTCCAACACGGCCTGGCCATCTGACCGGTCTCTAAGCCATGCAGGTTGACAATCAAGGGTTCGGAAATGATGGCTGTGTGCTTGTGTGTGTGTGGAGATGGTGGTGGTGTCATTTCAAACAGAGAAGAGGCTCAGAAATTTTGAATGAGTGGTTAACTTCAGGATCACTTTGCAACACTACATCAAAAAAGGTGCTTTTTATTTGTTATGTGTTCTTCTAGTGAAAATAATTTAATTCTCTGAGATAAAAAGTTGCCATGGTTGCAATTCAATCCCTCTCATTACACATTGCTATCAAGGGTCTTGGAGCTGTAACAAGCCATTTCCTATCTTTACAAATAACATTTGCATCAAAGATTAAATCAGCTACTAGAGACTAACTAAGGGGACTGGGCCTAAGTAGTTACTTCCAGGAATTCTACATGGACATAAGGAATTACATCTGTTCTAAAGACCAATCCCCAGGTCACTGAGGGCGAATAATTGGACATTCTTTGTTTACAAGCCGTAAAAATAAGGACACGAAGGCAGGGGGACACATTAGCTGGGCTCTCAAGGCCCATTCTCCCTCCGAGTCCTACAAGCCACAGTGTGTCATAAATGGGTGATTCTGGAGAACGGAGATGACAGGTTTAGCCTCAGTGAAAAGGGTTGGATGAGGCCTCTCAGGGAGAGCTGTCAGAGAGACCGCTGAGCAGGAGGAGACATGCTGCTTATTTGCTAGACAGTACCTTGAAATAGTCGATAAGTGCTTTTGAATACTTTACAGCGTGGTCCCTTTTGAGTCGAAACATCCGCCAGTATAGGAGAGCCAGGCATCGGTAACTGTAGTGGAAGAGGGGAAAGGGACATCCTTTACCCTGAAGCTTCAGAACAAACCCTGCCGTTTCCGATGCAATACTTCCATCACACTTACACTTCCAAAACGTTCCCAATTAAGTATATGCATGAGTATTTGATGCTCCTTTTGTTAAAAAAAAACCCAACCATAATTCAAAATCCCAAGGAGGCACTCCATACATGCGTTTACCACCAGATGACGTGTAAGAGCAGCTTTGACAGCTCTTTGTTGAGAACAGGGTCAGGCTGCTTTCTCCTCCCACCACTAGGGGGCAGTCTCTCCCCATGAGAGGCTGTGGGAGCGCTAGCACACAGCCTGCACGGCTTTATTGGGTGAGCTATTGGCTTTGCAGACCGGACAGCAATTTCACAGATTTTTATTACCTCTGCTTGTTAACGCTTTACTAGATTGTAATGAGTTCAAATAAAGTGCACCACAAACAACAGAAGTACTTACTAATTGGAGGCTAGTTACATTTGCTTATTGTCTACAATGTTTTGTATAATTATTTATGTCATACATATATCCCAACATTAATTATTAATCACCATCAATTTATTAATCCCACTATGGCACTCCAATCATATTTAGCATTTTCTGAGGCTAATTCTCTCTTCCCGGAGCTTTTCTCTCGTAATTCTTCCCCAGCTGAGATTAGGTATTGGCGTGCTAGAACCCTAACAAGCCCAGCACAAGTTGATCCAGCACTTCAAACTCCAGATGAAATTATGTCAGACATCTCCGACTCTCTTGTGTCTGTGTGGCTGCTATGCTGCCTGGGAGTTCATTTGCTTTTCTATCTCTCAGATTAGATCTTGAGCTCGATGAACCCCACTGAGAGCAAAACACTCTGGAAACACGGACACAGGGACAGGAGAGAGTCAGAGAAGGGCCTTGCAATGGGAGGAATGGGATGGGGCCTTCGGAGCAGACGCACAGTCCTTATTACTGTAATCCTAAGCACGGGGAGATCGATTACCCATTAGCCAGTACAAAAGAAATGATTTTATTATCTAAGCATAGCGAGCTAGCCGCCCTCAGTTCAGTGTATTGATAACTCTAATGGATTGTGAGTATCCATGCATGCTGATCTGGCATGCAAAGTAACTCGCCAATGATTTGGACTGCAACTAAAGTGTTAAACATGGGAAAACATTCCACTTAGCACAATTCACATTCAAATGAATGAGGCAGGACCTACGAGGTTTTACTTTTGCTTGTATGTATTTGTGTGTGTGCACGTGTGTGCGTGCATATGTGTATATGGGTGTACCTGTGCCTGTCTACGCATGGGTAGAGGCCCGAGATCAGCATGAGTGTTTGTTGTTCTCTCCCGTATTTCTCTGAGACCGGGAGCTTGCTGTTTCCGGTTGCCCTGACCGGACAGTGACACTAGTTGCTCACTGTGATCCTTTGGTCACTGCGAATTCAGGGTAAGCGCAGTCAAAAGTGGACCGGACCTCTGGGCTGTTGGAGCAGCTTGGTATCAACGGGTTGGAGGTATTTGGGGGTACAAGGCAGCTCGGCACCCTGTCTGCAGAGCTGGGGTTACACTCACCAAAGCGCAGCGAGTTGTTTGTCCTCTGGTGTGGCGTTGGGGCCTGAGTGGGTTTTTAGCCTCATAGCGTACCTTAAAAAAAAAAAAGACAGCCAAGAATTAAAAAGCCCTTCGGGCTCTCTCCACTCCAACTTACATGCTCTTTCTCTTCTTTTCCATTTGTGTGCATGTGTGTGTCTGCATGTGGGTTTATGTTAGTGTGGATGCCCACAGAGGCCAGAACTGGGTGCTGGGTCCCCGGAGCTCAAGCCACATGTGGTTGTGAGCCGTTCATGTTGAGTTCTGGGCCTGGAACTTGGGTTCTTAGCCGCTGAGCCGGCTCTCCAGCACCAGCACATAGGTGTTCACAGTGCCTTAAAAGCTAGCCGATGGCAGTGTGGCGGTGACTGAAAGGAGAGGACTTTCATGATGCTGTGCCATTTCCGCTCTTTAATGATAGGAAAAACTCTTAGGAGGGCTGCAAGCTCATGAGCCATTCGCCATATGGTGACGTGTCCATTTTTTCTACATTTCAACTTACGCTGAGTCCCTGAGAACGGAGGTGACTCTCATCCAAGTACTGAGGTGGATACTTAACTTACCTTTACCCTTGTTATATGTAACACTTACCTGATGACACTAGAGCTGGCTGTAATATGTTTCAATGTCTATTTTTCTGGGTTCTGACAAGTGTTTTGAGAAGCAGGGGCCTTTTATGGAGTAGGAGGGCTGTGGCCACTGTTTCTTCTCAGGGGAATAACTGCTCGCCTGCTCAGAACCTTGAGAGACGAGGCGGTGTGTGTATGCAATGGTGATAGGGTCCCAGGGTGAAATCCCATCTCAGTAACTCAGAGTTCAGACAGATGTGGTAACATGTTTGAGTGTCTATTTCCTAACCTGTAAAGTGAGACTACTACATCAGTCACAGAGCATGTAGAGGTTAGCCCAGCTAGTTTGGGATGCTCCTGGCTTGCTGGAAATGACTGAAACAGTAATGCTATCCATCCTCTGGCTGCAGGGCTACAGGTTCCAAGTGCAGTCCTCTGCAGTTTCCCCTGAGCTTGCCTTGGATAAAACCCTGCCTGTGTGGCCTACAGTTTGATGGTTTCAGTGTCTTACCTAGCTGAAGCACGCATGTCTTTACTGCCCCTTCTTCTATGTAATGCAGCCTTGTTACCACGTGGTGGGATAAACGTTGTTTCAACTACCAAATACGATCTACGAAACTCACTGGAAGGAACAGTTATTGTATACACAGCTATACTTCTGTTCTTTCCTCCCGGACATGCCAAGATCCCTTCCTCCACTATTTGCTTTTCATTGAGGAAGTTCTTTCAGTTTTTTAAAAAAATATATTTTAATTTTAGTTGTTTTTATCAGTTTACAAATAAGTAGGTTGTATTATGGTATTTTCCAAGGAAAATTTGTTTTTGTTGTTTCTCCTTTCCAACCCTCCCTCATGCTCTGAGAACATGAGAGGGAATCAAGGGTTTCTTCCTTCCTTTTTACTCGTGTCTGCTAGAGACCATTGCTTCCATCTTCCTTAGCTTGGCCTAATGCTGGGCAGCCCCTTCTTTCTTGAAGATAGGCACACTCCCTCCTGTCCCAGAGAAGAGAAGAGACCACCGCTGTTCTCCAAAGTGGTCTCATTAGTGACAACCTGTCTTCTTTTTCTCTGGCTGCTTGCAGGGTTTTGGGTTTTGTTGTCACATGCTGTTATGTTGTGACTTGGCATGCAATTCCTTTACGTTTATCCTACTTGGCTTTTTGAACCCGTCTTTTGACAAGTTCAGTGACTTCCAGTCATCATGTCTTCTGAAAACTCTTATTGTTCTGTTCTATTTTCCTCTTATTCTGGGGCTCAAGTGATACTGGGTGGGGTGGGGAGTCGGGTCTTTTCTGATTATGTTTGCTGTAGTTTGAATGCGACCTGGAAGCTCATGGGTTAGGAATATAATTCCCAACATAACAGTGCTCAGGGTGAGAATCATAAGGGGGCTTTATCCTCATGAATTGATCATGGTCCTTTGCCCTCTGGAACCCTCGGGAGGTAGGAATTCTCTCACTTATAGAGCGATGCCACTGCTCCTGCCCCTGGCTCCCCAGTGTCTCTTAGTTAGAAAGCTATGGTGGGTAAAACACAGATTTAAATGGCAAAATAACAGCTCCTTTTACAAAAACCCTAATTGCAGAGTTTTCTTTTTTCTTACTAACAATGCATAACTAGTTACATTTTATGGGGTACAATCTGAAACTATGATACATATTCATATTGTGCACTGATGAAGCCAGGGTGGTTAGCACAGCAACCTACATGTCTGTCTGTCTGTCTCCTCTTTCTCTTTCTTTTTTTTTGGTAAGAATGTTAACAAACCAACCAACCTCTCTTGAAGCTACACTGAAACATACCTTATCATTAGACGCAGTCATTCTACAGGCAGGAAAACCCTTGTCTTCCATTTTCTGGGCAGTGAGGGGATACTACTCATTTGGAACTATGTTCTCTGTGAGCAAGGTGGTCTGCATCCTCGAGTGCAGTGTGTAGCACACCTGCATCCTGTGAGTCTGATAGACTTCTGTTGTGGCTATGATTTATGTGTTCATTTTATTGCATGAAGGGTCTTTAAGCAGGACATGACACTGAAACTCACTGTAGACCCCATGGCTTAGTTACTTAGCTTAACCTCAAATATTGAATAAGTACAAACTACATACCAGGGTCTGCCTGTGGTTTCAATTCCCTGTTGCTTAGTGATACACTAATTGTCCATTTATATGTTTTCTTCTGAGAAATGTCTACTTAGGTATACTATACATTTTAGGATGAGGTTATTATTGTTGCTTTTTCTTACCACTTTTGAGAAGTAGAATGAATGAATATGTTTATTCATCTGATTGATGATGACTGAACCCAGTGGCCTGTGCAGCCAGTCTGGTCTACCATAGACTTACATCTCCATTTTTATTCCCTATGGACTTTTTATTTTCAAGCAGCTTAGAGATTCAATGCGTTTTAACACCTACCACTTCCTAGATGAGGGGACACGGGGGCATGTCCCTTGGACAGTCAAGGAGGCTTTGAGCAGGAGATGCCCTGTTTCACACAGAAAACAGGGAGGCACGTGAAAGTTTTGGCGAGTGAACAGTGGTCCCCAGTGGTCAATACTGCAGGTTGACATCCTTTTCTTAGTATTCCACACATGTATTTATGGATACAGCCTTCCTGGTCCTCACTATGTTCCCTGCTGGAAGCAGATCTTACCTGATGAGCTCCACCGTCTCGGAGTACATGGTATATGGAGACTTGGACTCCATCGGGCCTTGCTCCATTGCGTTTCCACACTCGATGAAGGACAAGGCTGCTTCGGCATAGTTCAAGGCTTTCCCAAACTTCTCCACCTGGCCAACAGAATCAGTGGCGTCTTTCTTAATAAGAAGGCTTTTTTTTTTTATTAAAAAACAAAACAAAACAAGGGGCACCACAACATAGTTTATATGCCTTGAGAAAGCCAACTTTTGAGCTCTAAAATCCTGTGAAATAGAGCCGAGAGAACAAAAGAAGTAGACTTGTAGTCCTCCCTGCCATCCAATCATAGCTCATTGTCTAAGATTTCAGTCACCTGTGGTCAACAGGGTCAGACAATGTTATGAGCAAAATTCCAGAAATAGACAATCCATGAGTGTATACATTTTATCACCATAGCTTTCTATTATAGTTGCCCTACATTGTTATCAGTTGCTAGGTACCGTTAGTGTGTTTCTGTGCTTAGTTATGTATCAGAGACATACGTGTACATGAAACACAGGGTGTATAAAGCTTTGAGCAAGGCATGCTATTGGGGCTTGGAGCCCACGTCCCTTGTTTAAAAGGGACCTAATGTAAATCACTTCCAGTTATTTTCTCTGACTGCCACTCATTTGAGGCAAGTGAGTATAGAAGTCACATGACACATTCAATTTTGCAAATTTCAGTTTCCTTCTCCCAGTGATGTGGCAAATTCATTCCTTGTCCTCTCACATGGTGCTAAACGTGCCAAAGTTCACAGGTTTGGTTCCATACATGGGCTTTTATGCCCATCAATAATAACGGTTCAGGGCCTTGATTACTGTCTCGTGTGTCATTTGTGACTTATACCCCTACATGTTCACCCTCTTGTGCGTCATTGTTAACAGGGCCTCACTAAAGGGAAGAAGACTGAGAAGGGGTATTAACTTAAGGTTCTATATCTTTCACAAAATGAGACCCAGGGCTGAAAACCAATCACAAGAACAACACTTGGGGTTCTCCACACTGTCTCCATATAGGTCTAGAACTATGTATGGAGGTTCTGGCTCTAGACACTGACTGCTGTTCTAGAAAATTCACATATTCTCACCTTGTAAAATCACCTCTGCTTTCCCATGATTTATTAATCAAAGAAAAATTCACATACCTACTCTTAACTATTCTCAGTCCTACCACTAAAATAGACACAAAAATAAATCCCCAACTTCTATTAACAATGATATCTTTGAAAATGAATATATATCAAAACTCTTACTCATGAATAAATCAAAAGCTTAACACTTATAAGACATACAGGCTGTACCACGGCATTGTGGGGCAATACTGTCAAGCTAAGGAACTGATTTCAGTATAAAGCACTTTAACTTTGGGGTGTGTGTACTTGATATACAAAAGCTCCTTCTAGGGACACAAAAGACATTTGGAGAGTGAAAACTGCGTACCATAAAAATAGTTCAATATGCAAGGCAGTCTGTGATTGACAGACTACAAACGGAAGAGTCTGATGTGAGAAGATGGGAGAGAGAGAGAGTGGGCGAGGGGCTATAGAGAGTCAGGGAAAGCTCAGAGAGGAGACTGAGGTGGTAGTGGGAAGCATCTGGCTGGATCTGGGGAGGATGCTGAGGGTGTGGGTGTGCCTGGGAGAGACTGCATGAGCATTAGGCTCCGCAGGTGGATGGATGTGTAGGTGGCATGAGCGAGATACGAGGAGAGGCTGCCAAGGGACAGGGAAGGCAGAGTTGGGCAGGATGATGCTAGGTGAACAGAACCAGGAAGTCTTGGATGAAGGCTTCAGGTAGCAAATCTCCCCATATTTAAAAGTGTGATGTTTTTGACCAAAAGTGGCCATGCATTAATTATTTGCCTTTTTTCCTTTCTCTCTTTTTAAAAACGGCACTGGAGAGAGGGAGATCCACACAGCAGTTTCTTCGGATGACCTGAACTTCCCACCGGACCCTGGGATTACCGGGTTGTGAGGACAAGGGCTGTCCTGGCACCGTCTCTATTTTCTGGTGTTCACTGCTCTTTCCACATTGCCCCAGTGTTCCCTGGCAGCTGACATCGGATAATAACTGGGCAACATCAGGCACACTGGGAGAGCAACTGCTAGGATTTACATATCTCCCCACTGGAGTCAATTCTGAAAGGTAGCTGAGATGCCACCTTTATCTCCAGCCCCCTGATTGGTCTTTGCTATGAACTTTGGAGGGAAAGAAAACTAGAATTTCTAGGAAGAAAGGCATCTTTTTGGAAGAGGCCTTAGGGCAGGAAAGACCTTCTTATCTAAAAAACAAACAAACCAAAGCCTATTTCTTGTCTGAAATAGATCATCTAAGTCAGAAAAGTTATTCTTTGCAAAGATCAAATCATGGCGACTTGAAGGTTTTAAGTGTGGGTGATGGTTTCCACATTGAAAACTTCAGGGGATGCACCCCTTTTGGGCAGATATATACCAGGAACTAGTTGTCCTGAAAAGAGCCAAGAAGAACCAGCTAGAGTAGCCAGAGAGGGAAATGCAAATTCAATTTCTTTCTAATAGCTCCGCCCACTGAGTCCACTGGCTCTGGTTACTATTCAAACCTTAAGACTAAATTGAAATATTCATTTATCCAGGGCTTTCTTCCAGTGCGGCATTACTGAGTGAAGTCGTAATTTATTGGGCTATGAGCCTTTGATTATATAAACATTTTCCCATTTAGCAGGCCTAGCCATCCTTGTAATAGATTTTATAATTACCCTGGCTATATTGCCCCAGTGATGAAGCTGCAGCACAAACACAATTTGGATGAACAAATCTGGAAAGAAAAGGGTCTCACCATCGCATCTGCTTTATGCTTCATCCGTTTAGCTTCTTGCATAAAATAATCTGCACTCCGAGGCCTACAACGAGAGAGTATTAGATGCCATTATTGCTTAAGTGCAAGACCTGCTGAAAATATGCTTTTCTTTCATTCAAACATAAAGCACAATGTAAAAACCCTGCTTTAATATAGAATCATGTATACTTTTTGCACTTTCAAATTACAGTCTGTACAAAAAATACATTCTTTTTCTCCTAAGTTAGCAATTCAAAACCCACTCAATACATGCAGATAGCCTAGATTTATAGTTGCTTTAACGTGGTCCCTTAGTGCCTAATTTGTGAATAAGATTTTTTTTTATTGTATGGGTAAGAAAAAAGTGAAAAACCTTATTTTGCATAGTATCTACAGGAAACCATCCCCCTTTAACTTAAAAAACCTGTAAATATACCTGGTAATAATTTCATGGACATGTATGGATGAGAGTATTCATCTGCTCCTAGGAGTGCATTGTTTATATGCATACATAGTAACTAGAGCTGTATGCACATACAGTTAATTATCTTAAAGCCTCACAGTAAAAACTGAAGAACTGTGATGTAGTATGATTATGTTCCAGTTGTAATGAAGTTAATTGTAAAATGATGTCTACCTTGTAACAATGCAAACACGGCATGTACCCTCTGGAGTGCTGATTAGCTAGCGGGTAAACAGGAACATTAGACATGTGTATTATTAAAGCAATAATCCTGGTCAGTGCCAATTCTTATGGGAGAAGAAGGTAATTTGTCCTCAGACAGTTATGAATGTGCACGACAACCCTAAGTCACACTAGGCCACTCATCAGTTGGTGCCTTTAAAATGCTCAGTCTAATAGATTATTAAGAAAAAAAACCTTTATATCCTTTAGATGCCATCAACATAAACTTCTTTGTAGTCTGTGTGTCATGTGACCAATAAACTTGACCTAATCATAAACAGCAGATACTAGTCAGGGGATATGATATCAGCAGAGACATCAGTCATGGACTGTTTAACCTATTACGATACACTTATTTTAAACTGTCTTGTTTTAGATTTTAATGGGTCTTTAACATCATTGTAATACCAGGCAGTCAGGACATTCCTTTATTCAAAGAGATCAAAGTGCTTAGAGAAACAGTAACGTGCAATGACAACGAACGTGGGTTGACTAAAACACAGCATTTGATTAACCAAACTAAGAAACAAAATTAGGGTCAAAGCACATAATTAGTTTGGGTCAAAAACCATGGGAACAACAAAAACAAAAAGGAATTTCATATCCTGTCTCTTATTTCTCTACAAATATTGGTAGAATTATGGCAATACACTGGGACTGACATGTTGGTTTGCTACCACAAAGAAGTGACAGCATAGCTGCAGGCTTTCCTGAACGTAACCGTCTGTCTTTGGGCAAGTACTCCTTCACCATTCTTGCTCCCACAGCCCTCTATTCCCCTTGGTGGGTCTCAGTTGTGGCTGAAGATTTCCTCAGGAAAACAGGCCTGCTCCCATCACCTTTGCTTTCCTAGTTCATCTCCCAGGGACCCACACCTCCACTTGAATGGCTTTTCAGTTGCCTTAACAGAGGCAACTTAGGCTACATATTGACTGATTCGAGCTTTGGTAATTTTCCTTGTTACTACCTTGTGTGCTTTCAAACTTCTCAGAGGTCTTTTCTTTTTCTTTCTTTCTTTTTTATTTTAGATTCACATGAGTTCGAGACCAGCCTGGTCTACAAAAGTTGAGTTCCAGGACAGCCAGGGCTGTTACACAGAGAAACCTTGTCTCGGAAAAAAAAATGACAATCAGAAGTCCATGAGTTATGGATCACTTCTAGATGGTTGAGATACTGTGGGTATGGAGTAATGACATCCTGCTGAGTCATGACACATACTGTGGGTATGGAGTAATGACATCCCGCTGAGTCATGACACATATTGACTGTCACAGCATTAGAAGGAACATACGTGCTGCAATGTTTGCTCTTTGGCTTCACATTCCAACACTGACAATCAGAGCTCACCTCCAGCCCAAGCCTAGACCAACTCCTGAGCCCACAGTTTGAGGAGAGTTTACAGTTGTCACAAGATCTCTCTTGTTGCCAGATGTGTTCACACGTCCTTTTTAGAATTCCTCTTCTCTTAAAGACATACCACCTAGGTTGCTTATATCAACCCCGGTTCTGGGGTTTACAGCTCAACTCCTTTAGAATCAAACTGGAACGTTACTCCTTGACCAGTGTTTCTAAAACATAGTTTCTGTTGTGCCACTGTCTTGTTTCCAGTCTAAAAATCAATCTTTGGGACTTCTGAGGTCAAATCTTAGTTCAGACTGGGTATTTACCAGGGACTTGTGGAGTAAAATCTGGGAAGGTTCCACCAGTTTTGATGGCATGCCACTCCTGTTTGGAAGCTCTGTTCTTCCTCTCCCCTGCCTGTAATACTCTGCTCTCTGCTGACTCACTGAGTGTTCACCAGATCCTATCATGAACCATAGGTTACTCCCCTGGACTAACCTAGCAGTGTCACCCATGCTTCTGTCTTCCCCACTGTCACAGAGAACTCGTTCACACTATACTTGATGGGTCGTTAGTTACCTACCAAGTTTACAGGGCTACAGTTACTGCATGTGTGCAGGTTGGCTACTGGCGCGTTTCGGCAGGAATCATGCTGTTGACCTTTCTGGTCTTCCACAGCCTACAGTAATCCTTGAATTGTGCTGAATTTCTTTGGAGCCTAGGGAAGAGTGGTTGCCTTCTGAGAGGGTGCAGCATCATAGCCAATGAGCCGGAGACTGTCTCCATGGCAACTTGAAATTCTCTACATCATTATCTGCTCTATACTCTAGTATCTAAGTTTGGTCATTTTCTTTGTGTCCTGTTTTGTAGACTTCGCCACTAAAAGAGCGTCATTTTAAATATATTTATTCCCATAGGGGGGAAAACTCTTTTGGTCATAAGCTATGGCATCTTAGGTTTCACAGGCTCTCTAAGTTACCCTTAGAGGTAGCTGATAGACCCTCACACAGGTTCTTCAATCAATGCTGTTTTATCTTCAGCACATGAATGCATTTTTCAAACCCAATAGGGAGGCTGAGTCACAAGCATACGGCAGTGTCTTTAGGTAAGTAACACATCCAATTTTCTGACCGGATCCTGGCAGCTACAACAGTAACCTGCCATGCTAAAAGAAGACCCGGTACCATCTATGGACCATTTACAAACATGCCTGTTAGAATCCTTTTTGCATATAATGGAGGGCTCACTATACTAAGCACTGAAAATTGCCTGAAGATTGGCCCATTTTCTCCTCTCAGGTGATTTCCACTGCTATGCTCTTGCATCAAGCCATTATAACGTCATTGGGACAACGGGATGTCACTCACTCAGACTGTCCAGCGTGGATGTGGATGCACACTAACCTGAAGGCATTGCTTTCTACAGCCATATACAAGTCAGTAGGGAGAAACGGAATTGCCCCTCACTGCTGTCACATGCACAGCATCTAATATATCAAAGGTTCTGAAATAAAACCTAGTCCTCTCAGGGTAAAATAGATTTTCCATGGAATCTGTTTGTACGTGGGAAATCTAGAGTGCTTAAACACGAATAAAAGTGCAATTAAACACTGTCAATGGAACTACACCCAGTGCTCCAGACATCAGAACTGGCTGACGGCAGGGCCAGAGCACGGCCGTGTGCATCTTTGTTCTAAGAGTTCTCTGTAACAAAAGCGATCGGTGTACTTGATCCAAACGGTACGTATTCTTTTCGTTCTTTCTTCCGCCATTGCCACCTACAAACACATGGCCTTGGCTCTGAGCCACTGCAGGGTGTGAGTGACCTGACGTATCTTCTAGCACACGGGCTTTAGAAGCAGGCTTTGCTTTTTGTTCTCCTTCGTGGTTGAGGGGGAGAGAGAGATGAATGGTCTCCCACGGAGAGGCTGGCACACTGCTTTCTGTAATTCCTACCTCTTTGAAAGGCCGTCCCTCCAAAGAGCGAGCCTGTTTTGTGCAAACTGGCAGGGATGAGAGCTCACTGTGTTTGAACAAACAGGGCCCTGGGTGTGGAGAGAGCTGGATGGTTTGCTTGGAGAAACTGAAATCCACATCAGACAGAGCGGTAGCAACAATGATATCAAATGAATTTTCGTCTGATATACCCAATGTCAGTTGGTGTGCCCTAGGGGTGTTACTGTGTCCCCAGCCTTGAGGTATTGGCTCCAAAAGGAGACCGTACCATGTAAGGGGTTAAACACTTCTTTTTCACACACACTGCTTTGTAGTGCCAGCTCGCAGAACTGGGTGGCACACTCAAGGCTTCGTGCATGCTGGGCAAGAACTCTGCCATCTGCCCCCCTCCAGCAGGCGCTGTTAGAGGGGGTGTCTGGGGACTGGGGCCCCCAGGTGCTGCTGCTGGCTGGCTGCACGCATCTCCATGGATGCAGGGAGATAGTGTTTAAGCAGCAAGGATTCAAAAGAGGCTTTCGTTCCTACAGCCTTGACTTCTACTGGAACCCTAAATGCCTGGCTCCTGGCTTCTCAGGAGGGGAAGCACCCTCCCTCATGTTCCTTACAGGCCCCACGGTACACTTTTCATGTTGTGCTGACTAAGGGAGGCAAGCTTTTAATCATTTAAGAAACTTTTATTGAAATGGAAAATCATCAGTCTCAGGGTTCTTCCTCTCTGGGTTGGATATTTAAAAGAGATCGATTTTAGCAAACCCTGAAGATTTCAGTAACAGAAATGTCCTTCTCCTCCCCCCTAAGTTTCTCCTTTTTGTTTTTCCATTGGTCAAAATAAAGCAGGGGCTCGGCCTGAGAAAGGGAATTCACAATGGAAACTATTCTCTAAGAACAAAAAGTGGGGTCCAGCTCTGAAGCGAGGAAAGGGTCTCCCCAGGCCAACAGTGCCATGGAAAGGTCCCCAGAGTGCCTTGCCTGGCTCTCTTATGGCCTATGCAAAAATTCTAGTTGGTTTCCTTTGATTAAATCATGCTGCAGAAGATTCAACCTCTCATATACGGGAATCTTCCTTCCCATCCTCTATAAAATTAAAATCCTTTTAGCGAGGAGACTGCTGCACATAATTACATTACAAATGTCAAGTCCCCCTCCTTTCCTCCCACTCACATTTTACATGCTCAATGGCCTTCAGTACTGTGTGTCCCAGGGAGTCTTCGCTCAGTGCCGGGAGGGTTAGGTAGGTCTGCTCCTATTATTGGCGTCATGGGGACAGATGGGACATTTGGTGGATTGGCTGAGTGCTCTGGTCGTGACTGCCTCTTCTATGTGAAATATGGGCAGGGGACAGCACATCCTTCAGCAAGCAGCAGGCAGTGCTGGCCTCCAGCCCCGCTGGCTGCCAACACAGCAATATGGCTGGCGGGAGCCAGGCTTTATTTCCCGCCAAGCCTTTTATGGCTTAGCTCAGTGAATTCGGGACTCCTGGGCCGGAGGCTTCCCATCCCAGATCCCTCTCAATTTTCCTTGGCCAAAGCTCCATTGTCACTAATTATGACACCAAATAATATATAGCTCACAGCTTTGCACTAATAAGACCCGCATCTGAGCTGCGGGGTGAAGCAAGTGTTGTCACTCCTTGACATAAATTCTCACAGATTTTGTCTTTTCCAAGAAAAGTCTGTTAATCATGCCAGTGCCACCTTCCTACTGAGGCGGTGGAGTGGTGACTGTCATGCTCTTCGGGCTTCTGCTGAATGTCAGGGGAAGAGGCTAGTCACACTGCCACTAGTCTGCACTTGCAGCTTACTAAGAACAAGCCGACCTTGATCCCAGTTTTAAAGTAAGTGCGATCCCCTTCAGTTCATTTGCATCCCCAAAGCACTAACTGGCCCTTAATTGGTAAGAAACGCAGGAAACAGGATGCAGAAGAGTGTGAATTTAAATGTACTCTCACGCAGGTTCATGGAAAAAAGAAAAAGAAAAATCCAGGCCCTCCCCTGGGAAGGGTATTTATAATTCAGCTGTATTTATTCAGTACTCATTCTTGACAGCCTGGTGGATTCAGTTGTTGTCTGAATTGCATGTTTATTCAACCATTAACAAGTATTTATAATACAAAAGGATGAGTTTCTTTTTCTTTTTTTCTTTAAGGCTACATGACGCAGCTTTAAGAACTGAATGACAGCCTGGCATCTGTTACTTTCAGGATCCTTCTAACTGGTTTTCCATCAGCTTCTCAGTTGCTTTGGTCCCAATGATCTGGCCATCCCCCTTCTCCTCCTGGCAGCCTCTTGGTTCATCTCAGTGCTTGTTGACACCCTCAGCGCATATAAGCCAAGAAGAGTGGCAGGAGCTGAGGATAAGGAAGTGAGGAGGGAAGGAAAAGAGGGCAGAAAACGCCACTTGGGGGAGGAAGAGGCTTATTTGTGTTGCCTGCCTAGGGATGATACCGCCCACAGTGGGCTGGGCTCCCACATCAACCAGCACTGAAGAAAATGCCACATAGACATATCCACAGGCCATTCCCATGGAGACAATTGCTTCACTGAGGTTTCCTCTTCCCAGGTGTGTCAAGTTGAAGAAAATCATGACAGAAGGGAAGGAAGGAAAGTGGGGTAGGAGAAAGAGGACACGAAGGGGAAAGGGTGGCGAGAGACCAAGGGGAGAGGAGGAGGTGTGGTCGCGGTAGTCACAGGAGGGGTCCCATTCATGTGCATCTCTCTCCTGACTCTGTAGAATGACCCAGAATGAACCCATCGTCATACCTTAGCTGTTGCCCTGTACCTGATTCCTTGTCAGTGCTCAACAGACATGTAAGACATTTTGCATGTGTCAGGTGACTTTGATCTCTTGAGGGACAGCTATTTTTATGGCTTAAAGGAAGAGACAATGTTGGGTCTTTGCCTTTTGGGTTTTAAGACTCTTCCCACAGCTTTCTTAGCTGTTTCAGTCATCTGTTTATTTTACTATTAAAGATGTCAAATCATTTTGAGCAAGTGGCCATACCTCTCCACGTAATGGGTATGTAAGAGTGCTTTTTCTATTTCATTGTACCTTATCTCTAACAGAACAAACCGTTTCAGCACAGTCAACAGCCAGAATTACACATCTTGCCAATAGGCAGAGCCTCTTCATTGGTGCAGACAGGGAACATAACGAGAATCATTTCCCCCTATTAAAAGTTCAAGAAACTTTAGACTGGCTACCATCATTGGGCCGCTGCTCTTTCTGACATACGTTTTCAGTTTTGAACATCGGAGAAGTCATTGAATTTATTTCCCCATGTATTCTTGTACCTTCCTTACCTTTATCATGCTCCCCAAACCACATACTGGAGATGTTTGATACTTTGAGCATTCCAGTGTCTGATACTTTTGTTATTAGCTACGACACCCAGACACAAATTCCACAATGACCTTAAACATCACTCTGATTGCCTCTGTTTTCAAAACTGGCTAAAGTTCACAGCGACAATTTCCACCACAAGGTCCTAATAAAGGTACAGTTGACCACCTGACTGTCCTCCTGGGGGCAAATGAGAGCTTGCCATTCTGCTCAGCAAGGGGCAAGTGAAGGGAGGTGGGAGGTGGAGTAGTTAAGGGAGGGGAGGATTGCATGCATGGAGTTGGCACGCAGCTGTAGTAACCACGGGAAGGGACCTGGGCCTTCTGGCTGTCCATACAGCTCCCCAAATTCAGTTAGCCTGCTGTGTGCTTCTCAAATGACACGGTGTGCATTTGGCTTCCAACCCCGGCTAATGTATAAAGTAAAATTAACATTTAAAAGACTACAGCTCAATACGCGAAGCTGCCAGAGAAGGAAATAACCTGGGTGAGTGCTAGGGCTATCAAAGAGTGGGCAGTGGGAATGCTCACTCCTGCATGGTTCCTGATGCTTCCCCAGATGCTGCTGCTTAGGCGACACCCCCAAGGGAGGGGTGCACAGTAGTAATCACTGATACTATTATTTTCTTCTGAGAAGGGGCTGGGAGATGTTGAGACCAGTTTGCATTTTAACTTCCAGGGGCTTATGGCTTGTAGTCTGTCTCTGCAGTTGGAATGTAAGCCAGCAGAGGGCAGGGACCTCCTGCATGAGGTTCCCCGAAGACTTAATTTATCCTGCCTCAAGTGGACATGCGGGGCATGGCATGTTTGCGGGTCGGCTGACAACTGATCGCAGGACTCAGGCTGAACTCATGAGACACTATCTCCTCCTTCTAGGTGTTCCTTGACCTGCTTTCTCCCTGGGAGACTGAATCGTCTTCAGCATCATCTCAGCCTTTCTGGCTGTGATTTTTCAGCCTCCCAAGAGCATGGCTGGGCATTCTTGTTCACCTTCCCCTGATGATGGGCATGGAAGATGTGTTTAGGTTTTAGCAGAAGTGGACAAAGGATGTCAGGCTGCTTTTTCTACACAAGGCCTGTTTATACTCTTAACAAAGAACCTACATCTTGGGAGAAAACAGCCTTCAGGAGTAAATCACCATTATTCTTTTGCTACTATAGTGTACAAAACCAAAAGTGATTTTTTTTTCTGATAGCATAAAATCACCAACACCCTATAATACACATCCTTAGAAATAAGACTCACTGGAGGGGCTGGAGAGACAGCCTAGCAGTTAAGGGCATGCTCTGCTCTTCAGAGGACTAGGGTTTGGTTCCAGTACCCACACTGGGCAGCTAACTGCCTGTAGCTACAGGGGAATCCATGAGAACCCATGCTCATGCACACAGACCCAGACAGACACACACATAATTTTAAAAGAAACAAGACCCCTTAGTGCAGTTTGCCTCAGTTTTCTGAGGTCTTGGGCGTCAACTCCATTAGCCCTGGGAATCCTGTTTGTCCAGGGGTGCATACTAAGTTAGAGCTTCCTTTGAGAGACATTTAAATAACCATATCACTCAAGGGCAAACAGCCTCATCGTAAATGAGAGGTAATGGTAAATGAGAGGTAATGATCTTCCTTTCTACTTTCTCCTTCCTTACCACAAAAAGAAGGTCTAGACTTACATGTCATCGAAGATCAGTTTCTGTCTCTTGCAGTCCCTGTGGCCACTGGAACCTGGAGACCATGGCTCAGTCTGTGGCCGCGACTTGGTATGGAGGATGCCGTTTTCGGAACTATTGTGAGCTGCTTTCTAAACAACAAATAACACAGAAGTTACTGAGACACTGGCCGCTGAAAGAGCCATTAGACAGAACACCTTTTATTTGCCGAATACTGCTTGTTCTATATTAGAAATGATCTATATTAGATTTTGTTTCAATAAAGAAGAGGTGATACAGGCTGTATACTTATTCAAAATACTGGGAACCACAGTGATTGGATATTTGGGGGGAAAGGATCCAGGTCTAAGTATGAAACTCATCCGTGTTTCTCCATATACATATACTAATTATATATACATTAAAACAATTATATGCAGTTTTTTTGCCTTTTTTTTTGAGACAGGGTTTCTATGTGTAACCCTAGCTGTCCTAGAACTAGCTCTTGTAGACCAGGCTGGCCTCAAACTCATAGAGATCCACCTGCCTCTGCCTCTCCAGTGCTGGGATTAAAGGCACGTGCCACCATCACCTGTTTATATGCAGCTTATTTTAAAACAGTTTTGTGATTCTTTTTGACTCTGACCTATCATAAGGACCAGGTGTGGAATGAACCATTTGCAGAAATATGTTGGTGTTCATCAAGTTTCAGATTTTGGACCCTTTTGGATTAGGGGTGTCTAGCCTGTATGTGTCTAGGTCTCAAGCTGAGGACTTCTGCATCTGTTGTCAAAAGCTGTTCTCACAATATCTAAAGGGAGGTCTTACGCTTCTCTCATGGATGGGGAAACTAAGGGTGGGCAGGTTAGACAACTTTCTCAAGTTCTAGTTGTAATTGAGGGCTTGGGCTTTATTTTTCCCAATTCACATACATACATACATACATATATCAGAATCATCCAGAGACCTGTTAAAACACAGATTGCTGGCTTAGTTTCTGTTTTAGTAGATCTAGGGTAGTCTCAGAGATCTGCATTATTTCTTCTTCTCTTCTTGCTCCCCCCACACCCTTCCAGATAAGGTTTGATTTGTCACTCAGGCTGATTTTGAACTGTCTCAGCTTACTGAATGCTAGGATTACAGAAGTGTTCTAATATCACACTCCCTGTGAGAGCTAGGATTACAGGAGTGTGCTAACATACTTGTGAGAGCTAGGATTACAGGGGTGTGCTATCATCACATTCCCTGTGAGATCTAGGATTACAGGAGTGTGCTAACATACTCCTTGTGAGAGCCAGGATTACAGGAATGCTATCACATTCCCCCTGAGAGCTAGGATTACAGGAGTGTGCTAGCATTATACTTCCTGTGAGAGCTAGGATTACAGGGGTGTGCTATCATACTCCCCATGAGAGCTAGGATTACAGGGGTGTGCTATCATCACATTCCCTGTGAGATCTAGGATTACAGGAGTGTGCTAACATACTCCTTGTGAGAGCCAGGATTACAGGAATGCTATCACACTCCCCCTGAGAGCTAGGATTACAGGAGTATGCTATCATCACATTCCCGGTGAGATCTAGGATTACAGGAGTGTGCTAGCATCATACTTCCTGTGAGAGCTAGGATTACAGGAGTGTGCAAGCATACTCCCTGTGAGAATCTGCATTTCTACCGCATTTTCAGATGGTGCCCCAAAGCCAAGCTTTCACCCCTGCTTCACTCTAACCGATCCTCCCAAGAGTTGCCATTCATGTCAGAAGTGGACTGATTCTCAGGCACTACCTCAGAAAAATACAGTGCAAAGATATTATTTAAAATATTTGAAAGAGGTCCTACTACTCAAGGTTACAAAGCACCCACTGTGGGCTGACACATGGGCAATACAGCATGTGTCTGATCACACAACACAAGCTGTTCCCTCTGAAGTAATTGAACATATACACAAATGCTTTTTAAGGTATGGGCCAGGTTCATGTACAATGCTTTAAGGGTTAGAGTCTGTTGTACATGGTCAAGAAGACTGAATGCTTCATTTCTAAAATTGTTCTTGAGACACTTATATGGTGCCCTCTTAACTCTCTATAAAGTGGGAACAACCAGGAGCGCTGTTGTGGTAGCCTTGGAGGTTGGCGTTCTGTCTTCCTTCAAGGCATCTGCCTATACTCTCTGCCACTCAGACTCATGGGCTGGTGCTGACTTCCTGAGGACCTTTGACATCATGTTTCTTGTGCTGGGGATGTCACTGTGATGTGCCCTTCTTTTTAGAGATTGTACACTGGGGCAATCGATGGCCTGTGGGTCAAATCTGGCCTTTTCTGAGAGTGAATTATTACTGGAAACCAGTTGTGCCTGTGTCTTCACACAATGCCCACACCTGGGTTCTCCCTATAATGGAGACCATTATAATCAGCAGATGGGACAAGCTGGTGCGAACCACAAAGCCACCATCCATTTATTATCTGACCTTTTGTCCCAGCAGGAAGTGGAGGCCAGGGGCGCTGCTTGGGACCGACCCTACAGTGCACAGGACTGCCCTGACCATGAATGGTTACACAGCCCCAAATGCTGGTAGTGCCGAGAAATCCTACTTTGCAGAAATTTGCCACCCCTGGTACCAATCAGGTCAGACAAATGCCAGTTCACCGTAAGCATCATCTTTGCATGTTTGGCAGTGATGAGGGTGTGACTATGGATGTACAGGATTCCCTGTCCTAGGCTCTCTTCCCAGCTAGGCTCGCAGCTTCTCGGTGATGCAGAGGCCAATGCACTGAGTGATCAACACTCAGCATGGAGCCTGGCCCAGGACAAGAGCCTGATCTCAGAAAACATCTGCTTGGTGAGTGAACACGTGGAATAAGCAGATGTTTCTATTTCTCAGCACACCACAGATGACCTTGGTGTAAGGATATGAACACAAAGACACCTGAACAGATAGCTTTTCATCCCATGTTTCTTTAGTAGAGTCTCTCTGAATTCTTCCTGCCTAGGAGTAAAGATAATTACTTCTAAATGTGGGTGCAAACAGAGAAGACATGGTTTGGAGATGTACTAAAGACGCAGGCTTCCACAGAGTCTTCTGCCAACTTTTTTGCATCTTAAATCCATGGGGAAAAGTGTTAAGTACTGGCTCCTGCTTAAGACATTTCTTTGTACAGTCCAAAATTTTTTTAAGACAGAATTTCTCTCTGTAGCCGTGGCTGTCCTGGAACTGGCTCTGTAGTCCAGGCTGGCCTCAAACTCAGAACTCAGGGATCTACCTGCCTCTGCCTCCAGTGCTGGTATTAAAGGTATGTGCCACCATAGCCTGGGCATAGTCCTATTCTTAAATCTTTCCTCTCTCTAGCCTCACAGAGCCTTACTAGTTTTGGCGGACACAGTAACCTGGGTGAACTCAGGCACAGTGTATGGAATTACAGAATGCCCTAGGGAGATGCTGTTCTTAGAGGCTGGCGAGGGAATGTGGAGGAACTAAATGGAATGCCAGTGATATCTAGAAGGGCTGAGGTAAAGAAACGGCTCAGAGAGACTAAGCAACTGGCCCAAGATCACACCAAAGCCAAAACACCTCTGCTAGAATCCTAGGGGAATGTTAGAACTCCCCTGGTATGGATGGTTAAGGGCGGTATTAGAAACCCCATTCCACTGGTAGACAAGAACGGGTTGACAGCCCTGTAATGTTGGCATGTGAGTCATGTATGGGTAGGAAATTTTCTCAGCACAGAAACTGGCTGGTTTAAAACTCCTAATTTTCTTTATCTGGGGATGTTGTTAGTCTGGAGTCTGACATTGTTCCAAGAGGCTTCATAATCAGAAGGGACTTGGAATGTCAACTGGGCAGGCTTCTTGCTTCATATTCCTTGGGGAGAAAGGAGGAGGAGGAAGAGGAGTACCTTTCCTCCACCAGATCTCCCCAGAAAATGCCTTCGGGAATTCAGCAAGGGACCTCCAGCAGGAGGATACAGTGTGCTCAGCAAGGGACAGAGTGGTGGGCTGACTCAGAATTCACTCAAGTTCATGTAGAAAGGAAGGGCATCAACCAACCGTGAGGTCTCCAGTGTGTGACTGCAGCTGGCTGTCAGCCTTCGGCTTTTTGTTGGAAGAGGCAGAAGTCAACACCCCATTGCCATGAGGGCGGCTGGAAGAAGTTAGGTCCTCGCTGGAGTATCTGTGCTTGCATGCATCAGAGAGTGGCGAAGTGGGTGACCGGAGCATTTTTTCATTTTTGTTTATTGGTATTGCCAAGCTGAAAAGAGAAATAGCAACAGAGTCTTGCAGTCAACACAGGAAAAAAAGGCCATGTTTCTTGTTCGACCCAACCTCCCATTTAAAATCTGGTGGTAGGAAGAATTTTCTTGGGAATTATTTTGGCAGAAGTGACTCTATGGCATTAGAAACACAGAAAACACTAAACAAATCTCATGCACTGTTTCTTTACTCTATCAGGATACACAGTGATCTTGAGTTCCTGCCAATGCAAAATTAAGAAGAGTAACACGTCCACACTTTGGAGTTCTTCATTCAGGTTATCTACTGAACAAACAAGTTTTTCCTCACAAGTATGAGCAGCTTGGGAAAGTCAGTCAACAGTCAACAACAGTAACCAAGCTCTTAGTTTCTTAGAGGACACTGGCCAGCATCTTAGCTTGTAGAATACAGTCACAGAACAGCAGGGTGACTTCAAGGCCTGAGTTTCTGAATTCACCAGGCACTGATCAGAACTGTCTATTCTTAAACAGAATTTACCCAACAGTAACCATTAGAGAAGACAAAGTCACTTAAAGTCTTACAGTGATGATGATGCTTATTGCTAAGGATCTATGTGTTTTGCATTAGGAATAAGTATCATTTGTGAAGGATATGTTATCCTGAAATAGAGTCAATCACTGCCAACTAAAGAAGCATATAGAGTCAGTTAAAACAGAATACAAACAACAACTACAACAAAAAGGGTAAAACCAATGAAAATTTAGTCATGACTCCTGGGGTTATGATGGGTTAATTGTATGTGTTGGTTATCAGAGCAAACATGCCATTAAAGTCACTTCAAAAGCAATTTCCTTAGCTGGTAGTCACAGTGGGAATCTGAAGCACTGGCCTCTAAAACAAACAACAAAGTTTTTTTTACCATCATGCAAATAGATACAGGTGGAGCCAGGATTTCTGGTTCTCAAAGTCCCGAGTGACACATTACAGACAACTGCTCTAGATGAACCCAAGGTGTGTCTGCTGAAGGGAAGGGTGCTGTTGTCTAGGATGGGTATGAAAGCCTGGAAACAATCATTTCTTGACATTTGAGTGAAAAAAGACCTGCTTCTAAGTACCCGTTATTCTACGTTCTTCATGTGTGATAAAAAACAAATTACGACATTAAACATAGTCATGGGGTATATATGACTGTTGCTTCTTCACTGTTGCAGGTTTACATATTCAAGTGGGCCAAAGAAGCCTTCTACGGAAGGCCTCCTAGCTGGGTGATTGGCTCTGTGTTCTGTGGTGGTAAAACTGGCGGTACAGTCACAATTTCAGAGGTTCACAGATCACCTTTCCCAGAAAGAACTCTGTACACTCTCATTCACATCCTGTCATTACTTAGCGTCAACAAAACTGTCAGATCTGGGATGCTCTGCCAGACAGCCGTGAGAGCAAGAGATTTTTAATTTGAGGTTCACGAATCTGGGTGGCAAAAAAGTTCCATCTTCACTGTCATCCTTTCTCATCTCTCACTAGAACATTTCTTCCAGTTACAAAGAGAGGGCAAGGATCAGAAGAACGGTGAAGCAAGAGTCATCTTAGCAATACCCATGCCCGTGTCTCAGCAGAAACCACGGGTGATTTTCTTGCCATACTACAGTTGTTTCCGACACCTTGAAATATCATTTGTGTTCGTTGCTATACAGCGGTTATGACTGTCACCTGATAGGAAGGTTACTGAATGCACCGACAAATCCACAAAAACCACATTATACATTAGAGAGAAATATTTGGGGGGCGAGGCCCCCTCATTGCCATCTCCCTAGTCCTTGGGAATGCACAGAGGACTATGGGAGCCCCAAGTACCTGCTCCCCCTGTGCAGGGTTTCAGCATCCTCCTCAAGGTGATCCCTAGGGCACATGGACCTGTGTGCCTCTGCTCTCTAGTTGCCTCGTCGACTTTCAGCTCTACATCTTTCCCCAACCTTTCAGTTTACGTTTTTATGTGCTGTGCAGAACCATTAATCTCCCTTTAAAAACCCTCTGTGTATAGTCAGGGAGAGTGAGACGTGTCTCAGCAGAGGGGAAGCGGGGTCTGTGCTGAGGTGCTTCTAAATGGAAAAGCCTCTATGACTGATGCTAAGCTACTTGCTTTAATGAATGCCTGGGACCTTGCCTTGCTGCAGGACCATTTATCATAGAGCGAGGGGGTATGTGGTGGCCAGGTGCTGCTACTTTAGAGGAGTCACTGGGTGGCAGTTTGACCTTGGAAGCACAGATCCTTTTTAAGTCCACAGGCTGTCTACACCCAAGAGCTTAGGTATTATTTTAGGTCCTTATGTGCTTTGCATCTATTATTAAAACATTAGCCTGTTATCATGTTTTGGGGGGATAGACCATCTTTGGGGGAGGTACAGAGCTCAGAGTTGTGTGTGCCTGGTCGCTGGTCTCTGGTTACAGGTAAGGGCCTGACACAGCTATTGGAAACAGAGCACGAGGCTCACATTAGACATAATTACAAGCCTTCGGTTAATTTGAGGGAAGTCAGCCTGTAGACTCAGATTAGAGCCATCAAGAGGATCTCGCATTTCCTGGCACAGTGTGTGACTTTCAGATCTAACGCCCCCTCCGGCTCACTTCTGCCTTGGGGGGAGGGCACAGGCTTACCTGTTGATGTTCATGCTGCAGTGGCTCCCAGACAAGGTGTTATTAGTGGAGGCGGCCAGGCGTGAAGCACTCTCCTTCTCTCCTTGGGCCTTCTTGATCTCCCTGTAGTCATCCTCATTGTCACACTGGGTGGCAATAAGCAGAAGCTAATCAGCTTTGGACTCTGAGGGGGTGCCAGTGAGCTGCAGGGCACTGCCTGTCACATAGCAAGGCCTCTTGGGAGGTGTCCTCACCTACCTCGTCCAGAGAACGAGGCAACGGCAAAGCCCCTGGCACAGGTTCCACATGTGCTGGGTTTAGTGTGGACGGCTCAGCAAAGGGAAAGACATCGTGTCGTGATCACAGCTGGGTGACGGAAGCTGCTAGGTGTCTAGCTCTGCCGAGCAGCTCTGGTCTGAATCACCCTGCAGCATCACTACCACTCATCCCTGCGTTCTTGGTATGGGAATAAAGCATGCCACGTGTGCTTCGCCCAACTTCTTTGGAGTAACAGTGGTGAGAGAGCCCAGCTTTGCCGTTTTGAAAGAAGTGCCTTTAGCGAATGGCAAAGCAGAGGCTATTGCCTGCCGTGCTCTACTTCTAGCTTGCAATTTCCAGCCCCATACATTTTCACGTTCCTCTTGAGAAGACAGGACTTGGGTTGGGTTCCTGCTGCACAAATGTGTCTGACTCTATAGCATCAGGGTACAGTGGCAATACACCCCCCAAACTGCTACTCCTGGGGAGACAATAACAGCCGTCTCATCAGGGCTGTATGGGGTATTTTCTGGGAGAAAAAAAAAGCAAGCATCAAGGAAAGAGAGAACTTGACTCTTTCGAGCTAGGATTGTGGCACACAGCCTCTGCAAAGGGGGTGGTCCTAGAAACTCATGTTGTTATAGTAGGCCCTTGAAGGGTCCAAAGCAAACTTTAAGTTCTTGGATCTCAGTTATGGGGCTCCAGCAGGGTGAGACACAGTTGTGTCGGTCTATGTAGGGAGTCTGATTAGTCATTTGCCTCTTCCAACCCTCCCATGGAGAATGGGTGACATAGGGGATTGCAGTGTTCTCTGCTGAATGAGAAGCTGCTTTTCCTGTTCTTGGCATACAAGCAATTGGTACAACTGCTCTGCAAGGCAAAGGCATTTGCTGCCAATGAGTTCAATTCCTAGGACCCATACGGTGAAGGGAAAGAACTGTCACAGGTTTGTCCTCTGACCTCTGTGTGTGCACTACGGCCTATGCATGTGCACACACACACACACACACTCACACACACACACGCACACACACACACACACGTAAAACTCTGGCAAAAGGCCTTTGTATATGTGTCAAGAACATGGGAAGTGGCTGCCTTTTGGTGGTCCTTCTTTTCCAAGGTTCAAATTCTACTTTGTAGAAATAAGCTGTTCAGTGTTACTACGTGAAGAAACACATTCTGTGCCTTTATAATAAATGTCCTTGCTGGTAATAAAGTTCACTGTCATCAGGAAGAGACTATGCCTTTGACATATGCCCTTCCAAAATGAGGAATATCTTCATTTTGGTCAGGATAATTGCTTAATAAACAGTACTTCCAAATTACCTTAGTGTGTGTGTGTGTGTGTGTGTGTGTGTGTGTACACCTTGGTGCTTATGTGGGGGTCAGAGGACAACTTCCAGGAGTTTGTTCTCTCCTTCCATGGTGAGTCTGGGGCTGCTCATCTAAATTGCATGTCCCAAGAGCTGATACTTGTTGAGTCATTTGCTCCTGCCCACAACTGTTAATCAAGCAATTGAAATAGCTGTAAAAGCCATATTGCAGAGTCTCTCCTTTTTCATTGACAGAACAGATTGTCCTTTGGAAATTGGAAGATGGCTACACAAACTCTGGCTGGTGCATTACTGAGTACGAGAATCCAGGGCTCAACAACCTCCTGGGTCCATTTCTATTGCCACAATCTTGGACAAGTACTTTTAGGTTCTCTCAGCTTCACTTTTCTTACCCTTAAAATGTGCATGATAAAACTGTAAGGACTTAAGTATATGAAGTATTCAACAGAATCCTTCTCAAGGACATCTGTATGTAGTGACTGCTGCTAGCAATGATGGCATCTTAAGTCATCCATGAGTTGCTAACTGTGTTTGCTTTGTGGTCCAGATTAATGAGTGTGTGTGTGTGTGTGTGTGTGTGTGTGTGTGTGTGTGTGTGAGCATATGTGTATGTGTTTGTGGTCCAGATTAGTGAGCGTGTGTGAGCATGTGTGTGTATGTGTGTGTACATGTATGTATGTGTATGTGTGTGTATGTATGCACACACATGGAGGTCAGAGTCTGACTTCAGGTGCTATCCACCTTGTTTTAGGAAACAAGGTCTTTCACTGGGAACTAGATCACTGGAGAATGTCGCAGGGGTCTGCCTGTCTCCACCTGTCCACACTGGGATTATAAGCATGCACCTCCCTGCCCAGCTTTTTACAGGAGCTCCGGGGATTCAAACTCAGATCCTCCTGTTTGCTCCGCAAGGACTTCACCAATGGAGCTATCTCACTCCAAACTAGTTTGAAGACACAGCAATGGGTGTGATTGTTAAAATCCTCAAATTTGGCTTGAGTAAGGAAGAATTTCCCAATTTGGAAACTTTCAAAACTGGCTGTGTCCTTGAGTCACTCAGAGGCTGCCCCGGGTCTCCCATTCTAGAGCTGCCTCTGTCAATCCATGCCACACCTATACAGCCTATTCATTCCTCAAGCGCCACTCCACCCAAAGACTACTGTGCCTGCAAGCATCATTCCTCCTCAAGTCTGAGTCCCAGCCCTCCTCTACCATGAAGCTCTTCCTCATCACTACTGGAAGCAACAACTACGAGCTCTGAAGCCATTGGCTGATGACCTCAGGGACACTAGATCTCATCTTCCACTTTAGTCTTAAACTCTATGAGGCCTTTTAGTGGCTGAATGACCCCACTAGCAACATTACCCCGTCAATCTCAGCAAAGAATGGGATTCACCATATGTCCAGTCTCCCCTGTGCCTGACATTCAGCCTGTATCTGCACACTCAGTAAACGTTGCCTGTACAAGCATTTCTTCAGGCCAGGGGCAGTGCTTAAGTATCCACAACTATATGGCTATAGTGGCAGTACTTATATACACCATTATATAGGTATATCCATCACTTATGCCATTGTTGGAGAATACAGAAGGGCAGCTACCTGCAGCCCAGACCAGCAGCTTCTCTGAGGTCTACCCCTTGCCCTCAAGTGCAAAGAGAGAATAGATGCTCCTCCCAAGGCCTCCCAACCCTAGGCCTACCTTGCGTTTCCTCTTGGATTTTGGCAAAGTCTTTTCAGCAGGTGTGTCTAATGCATGGCTGGCTGGGGCACTATCAGTGTCCTTGGCTGTAGGAGCACTCAAGACCCCAGGCTCCTGGGACAGGTGTTCTGGGATCCGGGACAGGAGGGTCAGGTCAATTTTGACCCAGAGAGACCTGACCTCATCACTGTCCTTTAGCGGAGAAAGCAGTTCATTCCGGCCAAAGGGGACCAGTGTGTAAAACTGTTCCTCTAGCTCCTTGGCAATGTCACTGCTGGTCCTAGCATTGATGGAGCCCACAGGGGCCCGGGAGGTGCTGCTGTTGCTGTTGCTACTGGTGGGCTCCTTCAGCCGCTGCTCGTTCCCAGTGGTGGTTTGAGCCTTGGACAGGACATACTCCTCTTGCTCCGACTCCAGGTCCGAGTCCGAGGAGGAAGAGGAAGATGAGGATTCTGTCTCAATAAATTCCTTGGATTTAGGGGCGATTCTGCTCAGCCCCCGCGTGCGCCTTTTCTCACAGGTCGCAGAGGAGCGCAGCTCCTTGCGATGGCTTGTTCTGCTGTTACCGCAGGGTCTGGTTTTGGGGGGCTCTGGGGGTCCCACCACACTCGTCCCTAGCGCATCTTGGGCCACAGGCTCCTCTGGCCGGTGGCAGTTGGCACTGTCCCCAGCTGAGATTCTCTCGGTGCGCCGGGTGGGCTTCTTGCCTGCTGACCTCCGGGTGGGTGCGGGGGCGCTCTCGGTGGGCGCGCTGGGCACAGCAGGTGGCGGGGCAGCTGAGGTCACAGCCACTGCGGCGGCAGGCGGGGACTTTTGCTTTACACTTTTGCTGCCAGGGGCCTTGTTTGCGGTCCTAGGCCGCTGCTCCTCCTTGCAGGCAGTCTTGAGGTCCTTGTCTCTCAGGCTGGCTTGGCAGATCTCAGGAAGTTTCCCGCGGTCCTGTCCTTCATCTTTCACCGGCGTGTAGTATTGATTCCTTTCGGGGCCGTGACTTTCATTTTGGACCAGAATAGGCGGCTTGTGAGGATTAACTTTGTTTAGCCATTTATCCAGCTGCCACTTGTTAGAGGACGCAGGTTCAGCCTGAAAACAGAAAACCCAGCACAAACAAAACAGCGTTTACAACAGGCTCACTTAAAAGGGGCCCTGGCTGTTTTAATCTTGACATTCTCTGCTAAGCAAGAGAAAATTGAATGGTTTGGCAACAAACGGTAAATGGAAGCCCAGGTATGTGGGGCAGACTCTGCTGGTACAGAGGGTGCCCAGCTGGCCCCTGGTACCATGGTATCCACGAAGCAATTTCAGGTCCACTTAATAAAACAACAGGACAGCACTGCACCTCTCAGTTATGTGTATGCAGGTATTTCATGTATATTTGTGCATATATACTAAACTTGAGATTCTGTGAACTTAATTGGGAAATAATAACTGGGTGGCCCTGAGCATTAAAATGTTTTTCTCTTTTCTTTTGACTTGTCACCTCCGGGAAAATCTGTGAACCCAGAACCACCTCCTCATTAGCATTTAACTTGTATGGAGAAGGCTAGTAGGCCACAGGTGCTTAATCACAAAAGCAGACATTGGGAGGGTGGCTCATTGGCAGCAGAGGACACCTATCTATCTATCTGTCTGTCTGTCTGTCTGTCTGTCTGTCTATCTATCTATCTGTCTATCTATCTATCTGTCTATCTGTCATCTCTTTACCTGTCTATCTGTCCATCCGTCATCTATCTCTTTACACACTATCACTTATCTATCATTGTGATGATATCCTGGGCCTTGTACACGCTAGGCAGACGATACTCTGATCTCCACCTCCAGCCTCTTAGCTTTGTGTTTCAAATTTGTCAGTCATACACCTAGAGGCAGAATCAGTCAGGTTCTTTTACATGAGAGAAAAATGTCTGTGACATAAGAAGTTCTAAGATCCTGCTTGGCATATCAAGATTTATTTTTTAACAGTGAGGTGTATCTTGAGAGCAGAGCTTGGGGTTCTGAGTGCAGTTATGTATCTAAGTGGGCCAGGAGAGGGTTGTGGCTGACACAGTAGGTTGCTAGACAGGTTTGCAGGAGTTGAGGACACACATAGCCAGGGGTATGAGAAGCCTCTGATAACATCAGGAGGTGGAGCCAGCAGGAACTGGCCACCTAGTATGGGGTCACCAATCAGAGCTGTGCTCGGGAGCAGGGACATCCTGCTGGTGGCTCTTAACAGATGAGATCAACTGAGTCTCCCTTATTTCAAATGCCAGGACTTCTTTGGGTTTTATGTTATTTTTGGATTTTGGACTATTTGTATATAATTATGAGATCACTGAGAGATGGAACCCAATTCTAAATGTAAAAGGCATTAAACTTCATCCATATCTGATGGTGTGTGTGTGTGTGTGTGTATGAGTGATGTATATCCATGCACAAGTGTGCTTCAGTACACACCACAGTGTGCGTGTAAAGGTCAGAGACAACCTCGGGTGTCAGTACTTATCTTCTATTTTGTTGGATGCAGGGCCTCTGTTGTTTGCTGCTGCCTGTGGCTAGCTGGCTCAGCAGCTTCCTTCTGTGGATTTTCCTGTGTTTGCTTCCCATCTCTTTACTGCAGGCCTAGGATTACAGACCAGCGACTATGCCTGGCTTTATAGGGCTTTCAGTTCCTTACCTTTGTGCAGCAAGCACTTTACTTATGGAGGTACATCCCAGCCCCCTGACGGTGATATCATACAGTTTTTAAGGTAGCTTTGAACATGGAACGAAGTGTCCTGATGTGGAGTTTTCCACCTGTGGCCTTATGGCAGTACTCAGTAGGTTGCAGATTTTAGAGCATCTGGATGAGGGGTACTCAAGCTGATAAAGGACACAGAACAGCTTCTTTTGAAGGGGGCTCCTGCCCCTTCTTGAAGAGCATCTGAAAGCTATTTTTAGGTTCTTTCTGAGACAGATCTGGCTGGCCTTGAACTCAGTAAGCAGCCTTGAATGACCTTGAACTTAGTCAGTAGCCTTGGATGGCCTTGAACTTCTGACCCCCTTCCTTCCACCTCCCAAGGGCTGGGATTACAAGTGTGAACTATCACACTGGGTTTATATAGCCTCAAGGATTGAACTCAGGGCCTCATGAATGCTAGCTAGGCAAAAACTCTTCCAATTAAGCCGCAGCTACAGCCCCCTGAAAGCTACTTCGATGACAAAGATTCATAGGTTCCAAGTTTGTCTTCCCTGAATGTTTTGTGTCATGCTTCAGTGTCCCTAAGGAAGCGGTGTGTGGAAGCAGAATGGGCCTTGAAGAACACATCAGTGCAGTAGAGAGGGCTCAATCACTAGGAGAGCACAGAACTCATGCTACTTGTCGCTGTGTTTGACACTAGGTCCCTCCTCCACCCTAGGCTTCCACAGCTCTTGTGTGAGACAATACAGAAGTCTGTTTGTAGCCTAAACACAGCTGCATGTGAGGAGAGCCACACTGGAACTTCAGAGTGGGACCATTAATGGTGAATTGTAGGATTTCATACACTTAGGACGGGCCCTCTGCCAGATGTACTCTAGGGTCATTTTTTTTTCTTGTACTTCACAGCTGAATGAATCAGTCTGAAGTATCATTTTCAACACATCACTAAATCACATTCCCTTCCTCAAGGGTCTACAATAACCTCCTATTGCCTCTTAGACAAAATCCAAATTCCCAGACTGGCATTCAAGAGCCATCATCTTGGAATCATTTATCATTGCTAGAGCACCTACAACATGCCTCCCACTTTGCATGTATCACCCAATTTAATCTTTACAGATAAGAAATGCTATCTCTAATTTGTAGATGAGGCTTAGAAAGGCTAAGTGGTACCCCATGGCTGCACGGTTCCCAGGCTCTGCCAGGTGTACAGAGTGGGTTCCCTGCACTAGCTGCCTCCCCTCCCCCAGTACTCTCTGAGTTGCCTCATGAAAGGGAGCTCATTCTTTGGAGAAATGTCAGTTCTGAACCTAAAATGAGAGTTTTAGATATGCTTTTCAGAGGAAACATGATTCTTGCAAACAATGTCTGCCAGCCTCCATTATACCCAACAGCATAGTCTTTTTGTGTCTGTTTCATGGGCACCATAACTTGTAGCTTCAATGTAGTCTACACTTGTTTCAGGCTGGGGCCAGGTCTTTTTTATGGCCTTGCAACAGTCATGCCAGGGCTGGGAGCTTGATGGCTATGCTTCTGCTCTCATCGAAAGAACTACTGTTCAATCTGTATTGTCTGTTCCTCACGGGTTAGGGAGAAAGTGCTGTAGCTATAGCGGCCATAGTGGAGGGGAAGCCATCGTGGTCATGGAAGCTCAAAAGACCAGTGATCATGTGCAGGGAAACCCTGAGACTTTGGATTCCATCCCACCATCATGCACTGGTGATACTCAAATCCTGAGGTTATCACTGAGACTTCTGCCCAGGGTTTGTATTTGTTTCCTGGTGGCTCACTGTGTTCTGTGTATGACCAGAGCTCTCTTCCCTAATTAGTTTTCTGAACATCCCCACTGCATCTACTCTTTTACAGCACACACCACCACGTGGTCCAGAGGTTCCTGATTAACAAGGCATCAAGGTGTTTCGAGTTTCTGCTGATTGTGAAGAGGAATCTATAGCGGTCTTTTCTAAAACGTCTTTTCTGTTCAGGTACTTCATGAAGGCCTGTCATGGTCAGATCCACTGGGGAATGGCCACAATGGAAAAATGCAGTTTGTAAGAGCAATATCTAGGGCCAGGAGGTATCTAATAGAAAGTCATGGAGTTAACCTGATGTGACCAGGGTCTTTCTGTAGGGACTCTGGCAACCCCGGGCCAGGAAACCCTGTGTGATGTCAGTATGGCAGCTGCATGGAAAGGCAGCTTCCACCCCTGAGAAGCGCTGGCATGAGAGGGTATATACCCGATGCCAGGAAAACCCATGAGAGAAAACCCTATGCTGAGAACAGTCCAGCATAGGCCAGGCCAGAGGGAAGCACAGCTTTGTCCACGTTGACAGAGGCTTTTCTGTGCTAGCTTTCCAAAACCTGGCCTGCCTATGCTGGGGCGATTCATATATGATGAACTGGCTTTCAACAAGCATGTCCACAGAGAATGATCTGTCGGAGTCTCAGTGGGGCACAGGGAGTTTTCCGAGCACTGGCAGAGCGGAGGAAGAAGTTAAGTACAGATTAAAAAAAAAAGTAAGAAGGAAAAAAAAAAGAAAAAAAAGTTGAGTGCATCAAAACATGAATGCTTCCTCTTCCTCCATGCCTACAGAAGGACGGTCTGGGAGAGAAGTGAGGGCCAAGGCTGTTTGCTTCAAGACAGCATAAGTGGGTCTGAGCAATGGACTGGGGAATGTGGCTATCAGGAGCTGGCCTATCACGCGAGGCTTGCAATACAGGGCTCCGTGCTGTCTGCCAGGCAGTCTAGGCCAGCCACCTGCAAGAGAAGCAGAGTTTTGCTGCAAACTGTTTGTTCCTACAGGCTATGTGTCTGTGTTAACTGTGGGGGAAAAGGCTCAAAGAGTCTGAGTCTTATTCTAACACACATGTGCATCCTTCGCCAGCAGAAAGGAACACTGGGTAGTATGGCTAATGCATTACCCAGCTTCTGCCTTCACTCCATAGGTAAGAGAGTGGAAATCTCATATGCTCTCTAAGAACATAAACTTCAGAGGACACTAATAAAGCTCAATTACCTCCAGTATTTTATTTTTTAATTGCTATTTTTTCTATTTCAAATAACTCCCATTGGAATGCTAGCTCTGGGCAGAAAGGACATTTTCTGTCATGTAACTGTTACATTCCCAAGCCAAGGCAAGTACTATGGCTGATGGTCAACGCATTTTTATTGAATGAATACTGGATGAACGAATGAATGATGAGGGAGGGATAGTGGCTTAGTTTCTGGGAGCAGTCAGGGCAAAATAAACAGGTTAGTGTAGCTAAGGCCTCTCATCTATGGGTAGAGGCAGATACAGAGGCACACAGATATCTGGGCAGACAGGTGAGAACTTTGTAGAAAGGAGAGAAAACACGGGTGAGCGGCTTATTTTAGGATGCACAGAGAGCTGGGAGTGACACAGAACAGAGCTGAAGAGAGAAGAAGGGTTGTGGGGACATAAAACAAAAGCTTGCATGGGTGTGAGGAGCCCCCTGTGAACTTGGAATGGGAGCATGACTATTTCCAGGGGTGGCATAGGCATGACACCCGGTGTGCATTCTGGACCTTCCCTGAGTAGTTCCGCCTATGCGTCTCAGAGTCTACTGAGGATTCCCTTAGTTGGCACAGAGGGTTGTAAGCAAAGCTTTTCACCCCACAATCCACAGTGATGTCAACTGTTTATAATCTCAAGAGGAAACAGTTTTACTCAGCATTTAGAAAGCAAAGCCTGCCCTTATGGCTCCACAGGCCCGAGGACCTGGTTTTCGGTCCTTACCCAAGAATCTTCAGGCTCTGAATTACTGTTTAATTTCCCCCTTTCCACTGAAAGTAGAAACAGCAATGGTTTTTATTGGTACCTTATAATGTTTTTATATGAGGCACCTAAATCTTCCCCTTAGATACTGATCACAGCTGTAAAAGGTTTCATTATTATTTGTGGGTGGATGCTAATTTTCCCTTTTATATTTTCACAAAGAAAACACAGTAGGGGTGGTTTTATTAATATTTATAGCCCTTGTTCTTCTGATCCATGACAAACGGCAGAAAGGTAAGATTCTAAGCATGCCCAATGCATAAAACTCTTTGGCCTGTGATTTATGGGTGGTCACACTTCCCAAGTGACAAACTTCTCTGCCTGGTTATTGCCTGGGATGGCCCTGAGGGGGAGACCCCAGCCATGGGTTATTTCCTGTCAGTGATGTTTATAGTATATGTGGAAATTTCTGGAAGCTGAACAGAGATTTTTTTTTAGACAGTAAAAGCCGATGCTTCATATTTGAAAGGAAGCCGTGTTATCATGAGACCAGGAGGAGGGGACACAGCGGGGGACAGAGCAGAGCCCCACAGCCCAACAGCTTGTTCCAGGCTAGGGGACAGCAGGAGGGTGGGTAGGCAGGTAGGATGAAAGCCAGGGCTGGGGACTTGATGGCCATAGAGCCTGCGCCTGAGCCAGCAGCTGCTGCCTACCTCGGGGCTGGAGCAGTGTGGAGGCTTGCTGCCCTCGCTCTCGCTGGAGCTGCTCTCGGTCTCTGAGTCGGATCCGGAGCTGCTTTCTGAGTCGCTGGAGGAGCTGCTGCTGCTGCTGCTGCTGCCGCTGCTGCTGCCCTTGCTGGATGGCACGGAACCTCTGCAGTTGGTCTGCTGGACCACGGAGCTGCCAGTCCACCAGGCCCCCCAGGAAGGGAAGGGAAAGAAAGCCAAATGAGCAAACAGGAAGTACCAGCAGGCTGCCATCCTGGCAAAGGCAAGGGGGAGGCACAGACTGCACACATCTGTCAACCGCGGCCTGGATTCAAGGCCCAAAGCAGCCAAAACCAGACAAACTTAGACCCAGAAATAAACTGAGAAGGAACAGTCCCTTTGGTCGCTGGACACTGGTTAGATGTGTGGCTGTTTCAGAGGAAGGCGTGCTGGCCTAGCGCTTGTTTCAATGTTGCCGCTGTTCTGAGAATGTTGTTTTCAAATGCATCTCTGATTCTAAACACCTACACAGATTCAGGAATACCCTAAAGCCTCAAAATATTTTGCAAACTGTCAAAAATAACTTTATCTTTGCTTTAGAGGGGAATGGTTAATAGAAAGGAAGCTGCCAGGAAGGTCATAACGGTCTGCTGTCTCATGGTCTGCTGGAAGCTTCCACAGAATTCGGGACTGTCAAAAGTTAAACAGCTTAGCCAGATGTGGTGGCCCATGCCTTTAACCCCAGCATTCCAGAGGCTGAGGCAGGAGGATCTCTGTGAGTTGAAGCCAGCCTGGTCTACAAAGCTACACAGAGAAACCCTGTCTCAAAAACAAAACAACAACAACCAAAAGGTAAGCAGCTTGCTTCATCCTTTTTTTCCCCCAATGTAGAGTCCAGTGTCGTAATTATGGATGCTGGTGTGGTGTGTGAACAATAGCCTTTGAGCCTGTCACAAAAGAACTGATGACCCTTCACAAACGTTTATGTAATCTACATTTAAAAGAAACATCCCCAGAGCAGTGTTTTACAGAAATGGCATCTCCAACTGATACCTGATAATTACACATGTGCTGGAATTGGCCACAGTCCCTATATGCTCATTGACAACAGGAAAATTTGGTCTGTGCTTTCAAATAGTAAGTCATTAAACACAACAATAAAGCTATCACAAATTCATCCAAGAGTGTGTAAGTCAACAAGATGTCAGTTCTCACACATTATTCCACCTTTTCCAGGCCATCTATGTAACTGAGCTGAGACATTCCTGTATGTGCGTGCCCCTCTGGGGTCAAGCTCTAAACTCAGAAAGTGCTGGTTACTTTTGAGGTGCTGAGTCAGCAACAGTCTGCCACTTCTCAACTGTGACCATGGCTTCTACAGGGCTGAACTTCTGTGAAGGATGAGGCTTAGGATTTCTCCTTAGGACTTAGGGACTCCTTACCATGCCCAAGGAACCTGGGCACTGTAATGAGTTCATTTCACGCACCCCTTAAATCTCAGGATGCACTGTCTAAGGGGAATCTCACAAATTTCCCTTTGTCAGGGCTGGGAAGGGGGAAATATTGGAGTCTCTGCTTCTCTTAAAGAAAAGAAAAAAAAAAAAACAAGAAAGGAATCATCCCCAAAACATGGCAATAAAAATCACCTTTCTGAATGGCAGAGTTAGGGAAACTGCAGTTTGAACACAAACACCCCTATTGACTTCCATTTCTTCCTGCCAATGTCATGGTCCACACATGCTATCTGCCTGAATTCCTCAACATCAGACAACATCTGCCTTGTCTTAGTGGCAGAGATTTTGTTTCCATCCTGTCACTGGTGTCTGGCATTGAGGGAGGACTCTGGGATTCTGAGATGGAGAGGAGAAGAGATAATTCATGTTCAAGGGACTAGTGATATCTTTTCCTCATGAATGAAAATCTACTTTCCAGGCGACTGAATGGTGATGGCTACTATCAGTGGAGTTATTGCCTAGAGTGGGGGCTACTATCAGTGGAGTTATGGAGGGGATGGGGAAGGCTTGAATTCAGCTGAATATGAACATTTGGGACCCACATTGATAGGTTTTTTTGGGTGGGGCACCCCCCCAGACACATGCACGAAGGCACACACACACACACACACACACACACACACACACACACACACACACATACACACACACCACCACCACCACCACCAACAACAAAAGCACATGAACAGCAAAGCTACACATAGCCCAGAAGAGTTTTTGTCATTAAGAAGATGGTGGTAACAGACAGCAGCCACAGAGGTGGGTCTCCGTGCCACACTCTAGGATGACATTTGCTGAAGATTAGGAAATAAAGACCAACAAAAATTATTATGACCCATTTTATAAAATATGCCCCCGATCAGTATCTGTTACTTGTTTGAATCTACATTGCATAGATTGTGCAGCAGAGGCCTTGTAGCGGGTGGTACTCCTGGTGGCCTGTACCACAGGGTGAAGGGCTGTCTTTTGAAAAGAAGGGCTTTCATTTCTGGGGACATGCCCATTGCACACTCACATGCTGTCTCCCCTGATCACTGCTCTTCTGCCAGGGTGAGAGACACCAGCACACAATGATGACATTGCAACCACGGATCTGAAGTAAGTTGCCAGAATAGCCTTGCAAGTCTATGTCTCTCTACCTTAAATTAGGAAACTGATTTACAATGACAATTTTACTGGCATAGCTATTTTATTTGTCCCTGGAATCAGAGTCAGTGAAAGAAATGTACCCTGGCCCTAAAATTGGAGGCAAAAGGCTAAAAAGGACCAGAGAAAGAAACACACTTTGGCCCTGAAACCAGAGCCAAATCTGACCCTAATCCTGTGTAAAAAAGTAACCAATCCCGGAGCAGAGCTCTAGCCAATCTGAGCTCAGCACTGAAATCGGACAAATCCCTACTTTGGAAAAACTTCCCCAATCCCTATATAAACCCTGTGTATGTTCAGCTTGGCTGGTCCAGCTGTCTTCCAATAAACCCCTTTGGATGAGCTTCGGGTGAAGATCTTCTTTTGCGGCGGTGACAGAGCAGAGGCGACCCTGGGCAGAGCAGAGCAGAGCAGAGCAGAGCAAGCAGCGCTGTAACACTTGCCCGGGAAACCTTCCTTGGCAGAGCAGAGTTGTTACACTCTGCTCCCGGCTCCCTGCTCTCCGCTCTCCGCTCTCCAGGAGCAGAGCTGAACTGTAGCAACTTCGCCCGAGAAACCTCCTGCGGAGCAAAACTGCTACACTAGGTGAACATCCCCAGCTGGAAGACCCTGTCCTGCTGGAGCGGAGCTGATACACCGGAGAAGCCTTTCTCTGAGGCAGGCTGTAAGCTGCCAAGCTTATTGCAACCTGTGGTGGTCCTTGGCTCCCGAGCTCCAGGATACCTTTCTACCTGAGCTGTGTAACACTCAGTATCCTTGGCTCCCGAGCTCCAGGATACCTTTCTACCTGAGCTGTGTAACACTGAGTATTCTGTGACTCCCGAGTGCCAGAATACCTGACCCACTCTTGTTCCATCCTGTCCTGACCCATCCCGACAAAACGCTTACACCATGTAACTCAAGTTTGGATTTCTAAGGATCCATATAAAAGCTGGACAAGTGTAGTGGTCTCCATGTAATCTCAGCGCTTGAGAGGCAGAGCTGGCATCCTCTAGCCAGCTAAGCCAGCTAGATCCATCAAACTAGCAAGCTCTAGGTTCAGTGAGAGACCCTGTCTCAGTAAATCAAGTTAAGAGTCATCAAGGAAGCTACCTGATGTCAACCCTTGGCCTCCACAAACATGGAGTGTGCACATATATGTAAACATACACATGAAATGTCGACTCAGCAGAAGTTTTCCTGAAATGATCACACAGACTGGTTGACAGGATGATGATGATTCTTACCATGCTGCCTACTAAGGTCTGGACCATGGTTTCAAGACCATGGGGCCACTGACTCTGAAGACATGGAAAATGCATCTGACCTCATGCAATCATCTTTGTATTAGCTTTATGGGTGGTATACACCTGTAACCCCAACACTCAGGAGGTAGAGGCAGCAGGAACACAAATTTAAGGCTGTCATGAGTCTCAAACAAAACAAAAACCCAAACAGCCTCCCCCTTAAAAACAAAACAAAACACAACCCAAACAAAACAAAGCCCCTCAAGATTAAAAGCGATGTCTTTGGGTTATCAAAGCATAGCATAGTTCAGCATGGATGGGTATTCACATGCATTCCAGAATGAGTCACTAAATGGAAATTAAACTGGTGTTAACAAAACAGATCTCACTTTCCACAAAGTTATAATCTCTTGGTTCTAGTAACAAAAATGGGAGGTGACTTCAGCACCTATTCCAATTTTCAGCATTTCTTCCTTTCTGCGAATATACCTTTAAATGTATTTTCAATTCCATTTGCTATAACTTGAGCAGGCTCCCCAGTGAAGAGTTTAAGGTTTCCACTTTGGTGATTTCATAAACTGGTCTCCTGGTGTCTCGAGTGCCTGGACTCAAATATTTCAAACACACCTTTGAGAGATGCCAACCTTTATTCTGGGTGATGTGCTTGCTAAGCCCCTGCCTTAGTTGACAATGATGAATCCCTTCTAGAATCTGGTCCGGGTCTAAATACAGGCCATTAGAGAAAAGTTCCAAAATGGAAATGACACACCCTGGATCTCATAGTTAAGCTTCAAGGTCTCATGCCCGTCTGAATGACTACCCCTTGCTTTCACAGCTTCCCACTGATAAATGACTAGGGATGGGCTCCCTGTCATTTGCTGGGATGGTGACAAAAATGCTAGAGGTCTGAAGGCTTCTAAACACTTACTTCCTTGCTCAACACTCTGTAGTATCTCAACAAGGACACCATTTCCCAGCTACCACCAGGCCTGAGTGGATGGCAGGCCTTTACTGGTAGCATCTCCACTGATATCAGCTGGTTCAAAAGCAAAGCAGGCAGTGCCGAGGCACTTCAGGCAGAGTCCCCTCCCCTGTCATGGGATATTATTTTAAGATGATGTGTTGCTTTTGTTTATGCTGCATTTGTTTAACTCTTTGAAACTGTGTTACTTTGCCTGTCTAAAACACCTGATAATAAAGAGCTGAACGGCCAATAGCAAGGCAGGAGAAAGGACAGGCAGGGCTGGCAGGCAGAGAGAATAAATAGGAGGAATTTGGGAAGAAAGGATCGAGGAGCAGGGTGAGGA